TTATAGGATTTGAAGGCTTTATCAGAATATAAACCTTGGAATTATAAGATCAATTTCAAAAAGGAATTCATATCCTTTATTAAAAAATTGAGATTATATAATCCTAATATTATATAGATATAAAAAGAATATAGGATTAAAACTAAAAAGAAAAGATAGATTAGAAAATCCAAATCCCTTTATATATCCAATATATTATTAATATTCAAGAAAGACAATTCAGATAATCGGTTTTATAAAGATTATTATTGGATTAATAATAGAATAATCAGAAATGTATATTCAATATCGAAAGTTTAAAAATTTAAGGATAAATTGAATAAAGCAATGATCTATATGAAATTAAATCAAAAGAATATTTTCAACTTGATATAAATAAAAAAGAATTACAAATAGAAGATAACCTTCATATTATTATTGGATTTATAGAAATATATAATCATATTATTCGGTTTAATCAATATACTAACTACTTATCAACAATAGAATAATAAGATATTCAAAGAATTCAATTCATTTGTAATCTATTATCTAAATGATATTCTAATCTTCTTTTAGAAAGAGAAGAAATACAAAGAATACATATCGAAGATACTAAAGATATTCAGAAGAATAAATTCAAGATTCAAATTATCGAAATATAAATTTGGAATATAGAAGGTAATATTCCTAGGATATATTATTCAATTAGAACAAATGAATATAGATCCTAAGAAAATAAAGAAAATAAGGAATTGGAAACGATCCAGAAATATCAAGGATATACAATCTATACTAGGATTCATTAATTTCTATCGAATATTTATAAAAGACTTCTCGAAAATGATAGAATCCTTTATCGAAATGATCAAAAAAGGAATAACTTTTATATAGAATAAAAAGATAAAACAAACTTTCCAGGAAATCAAGAATAGATTTACAAAGGAATTTATCCTTTACAATTATTATAATAATCGAAAAAGTATTATTAAAATAAATACCTTTAATACTTGTATAACAAGAATCTATTTGTAAAAAAACAATAATAGAAAATTACATTTTATTATCTATTATTCGAATAAGATAAACAAAACAAAACAAAATTACAATATTTATAAAAAGAAATTTATAATTATAATAAAAACATTAAAATATTGAAGAATCTATCTTCAAAAAACTAAATTCCCAATAATCATCTATATTGATTATATAAATCTTTGAACTTTTATTATTATTAAAATCTTGGATAATTATAAATTAGTTAGATGGGTTAAAAAACTAGTAAGGTTTGATTTAATAATCAAATATATCAAGGGAAAGGATAATACAAAAACAGATACTTTAAGTAAATTATTAGATTATAAAAACAATAAAACTTATCAAAAAACAACAATCTTGAAATCCTTATCAAATAGAGATCTTATCCTTAATCTAACAGAAATCGTTATTATAGAAAATAAATCAACAAAGATCTGAAAAGATAAACTTATGAAAATATAATAAAATAAAAAAGATATCAAATAATCAGAATTATTAATAATTATTAATAGATTGTTTCGAATAGAAAATAAAATTTGATTATTAAATAATATCACCTTTAAGTATATCATAGAATAATATATATTGCTAGCTTATAAACATCAAGGAATACAAAGAATATATTTAAGAATCAAAAAATAATATTGAAGTCCAGGATTCCGTAATATAATTAATAAAATAATCATCGAATATAATATCTATATTAGAAATAAGACTTCCTATTATATTCCCTATAAATAAATAAACATCACCGAAATATTATCTATACTATAGAAATCAATATTATAGGATTTTATAAATTTATTATCAAAATCCAAAGATTTAATAATAAAAATAATATATAATTATCTCCTTGTTATAATAGATAGATTAACAAAATACCTGATATTTGTATTATACTAGATAACATTAATTACAGAAATATTAATCTTTATATTCCTGAAAAAGATTGTTACAATATATAAATTATTAAAGGAAATACTTTCTGATAAAAATAAACTTTTTATATCGAAATTTTGGATTGTTTTAATAATATTATTAGAAATAAAAAGAAAAATATTCATTATATTCTATCTACAAATCAATAAAGGAAATAAGAAAATAAATCAAATTATTGAAATTTACCTTTAATATTATATAAATTATTAATAGAACAATTGAATAAAACTTTTATTTTTAATATAATTCATATACAATAATTCAATATTAGAAATGATACAAATTATTCCGAATTATATCAATTATAAATATGAACTGATTATATATTATAAGTCAAAGATTATAGAAATAAAGAATCAATCTGTAATAATATAAACAAAAAGATTCAAAGAAATCTATAAAGAAATAATAACAGAATTGAAATTCGTTATCGAAAGAAATATATATTATTACAATCGGAAATATAATCAAAAATCAATATTAAAAAAGAAAAATAAAATCTATTTATTTCGAAAAAATATCGAAACAAAAAAATCTAATATAAAATTAAATTACAAGAAATTTAGATTATTCAAAATCAAGAAGATTAAAGAACTCTTAAATTATAAATTGGTATTATCGAAAAATATAAATATATATTTAATATTTTATATATCTCTATTCGAACTAATACCCTCAAAAGCATCTAAAACTTTTGAAACAGAAATTATATTTACAAATCAAAATATCAAATATAAAATAGAAAAGATACTAAATTATAAATATATTAAAAACAAGATCAAATATTTAATAAAATAAAAAGATTACCTTAACTTCGAAAATATATAAGAACTTGAAAAAGAGATTAAATATTTAAAAAGATTCTAAAAGTTTCATCGATAAAATCCGGATTTATTTAAAAGAAAAAGGAATTTATCGTTTTTTACAAAAAGGGATCGAAAGAATCGAATTCGTTTATAAGAATTTCGTTGAGATTAATAAAATCAATTAATAATTGATCAAATCGATCAAGGATTAATTGATTAAATTAATCAAATTGATCAAATTAATCAAATTGATTAAAGGGCAACAGAAAGATCACAAGAATTTCTTTATCCTTTTCTTTTCACTCTTTTTCTTTGAAGGTATCAAGTTTATCAAAGTATTTGAACTTACAATATAATATTTTATCATATTGTTTTTTGAATTACACCTTTTATTTAACAAAGCAAATAATCTTAACAAAAAACTCAACGATTTCAATATCCAACTTATTAACCTATCAATCAAAACTTTTCTAATTATACTCTCGAAGAATTTTATAATCCCAATTATCTTTCAAACGAAATTCAGTATCATATGAAACAGAATTTCGTATATATTCTGAATAACACAAATAATATTTATCAAAGAGATTCTTAATATAATAATGATTCTTTTATCAACAATAAAAACAAGAAATCATCTTAATATCAATAGAATCGATAATCATAGTTAAATATATATATTCCTTTTTCTTTCTTCGAATTAAACTATTAAAGAAATCAGAATTGTTTATAATAAAAAAAGAAAGATAAATAAAATATAAAAAAAGAAAAAACATTAATTATTAAATGAAATCCAAAAAGTTATAAATGATTAGAATAATATTTAATTAAAAAAAAGATAATATTACAATTTACAATTAAAATAAAAATATATTAAAGAATAATAATCAATATATTTATATAAACTTAGATCTTATCAAAAAGCAAAACGATTTGTATACAAATTTGTATAATAATTGCCTTATATGGTTTCTCTATCTTTAACAAGTTCAGATATATAATCTGATCCTAATCATATAATAAAAAGTTCTAGGAACTTCGAAAACTTCTAAAACTTTAAAAGCTTTTTGAAGTTCTAAAACTCTACAAAGCTTCTTTATATTCATTAATATATAATCAGAATAGTTTCATAGTTTAAGAGCTTCATATTCAACTTAGTTATCAATTAGTTTATCTATATTCTAATTGATCTAATAATATATTCATCTTCGAATAGATAACCAATGATTATTAGCCTTAACCTACAACTACCAACCAGACGAATCCTGAGGCAGCCGCTGCCTCAACCAGATCGTTACAGGACAATCAATATAATCTTCGAAAAGTCTAAAAGGAATGATTGAAGGAAGATTATATAATCAAACGAAAGCATTTTTGAGGTTAGAAAACATAGTAGAATATAAATGATTTGTAAAATTGAAGAAAAAAAATATAGAAATTATATCAAATTAGTATATAGATCAAGAAGGACTTTTGTAATGATATAAAAGGCTTTTGATTGGAATTATAAATCTCTATTAATCTTTTTGAAGAAGAATTCTGATAATAAAAAGGTAAATTCAATAATATATCAAAATCAAGTTCTTATTTCTATTGTATTCTTTTTATTTGATAAATTAAAACTTGAATATATATTCATAAAGGATAATACAAAAGTTCATTTGAAATATATTAAATTAATTCGATTAAAGTATAATATTAAAGACTTTCAATAGCCCCCTTCTTTTTCAAATCTCAATTCAATTGAGAAAGTATAGTATTAGATAAAGAAGGAGTTAAAAAAACTATTATTTGTATCTACTTTTATTGAGGAATTGAAAAGGAAGTTCAAAAGATTATAAAAAATATTTGATTCTTTAAATTTCAGATTATATATTGAAAGATTGATTTATAAATTAAAAAATATAATTGAAATAAAAGGATTAGCTATTATTTATTAATATATTATCAGATTTTCAATAAAAAAATATTGTAGCGTTGATTTAATATTAAATTTTCAAAAGTGTAGGTGAAATTTAAAGGGGGTGCGGTGAGTAATGACCAGAACTCTTAAAAAAAAGTAAAGGCTGTTATGTATTCTTTGTTAGTAAGCGATGAGATTGGTCGTCATTTTTTATATATGATGTTACTTGTCATACTATATACTTGCTGGCTTAGCAACACGGTATTAGCTCGACAGAGATGAAATGCGGCATTCAATGAATTTCATCATAGTCACGTGTCAGGAGGTCAATTATTGAGAGCAGAAAGGTTGTTTTTCATTTAATGGGAAAAACAAAAGCTCTCCAATATTCTAAGCAATTACAAGCAATGGTTATCTCCCTCATCAAACGACTGTCCCCATGAATTATCAAAGAATGATAAGTCATGCCTTTCCGATCTTCCACCAAGCAACTGTTTCCATCCATATGCATTACCAAGCACCTGTTTCCATCCAATAACGGTAATGACCTCAACTTTCCTCAGCGGGTAACTATCTCAAACACAACCGACGTTGGTCCACTGGTTTTCTCATCCGGGAATCATCTTCATCCGTTACCAACAACGATCCAGCATCTACTCATCATGCCAACATTCCCATCTAATCTCAACAATGATTTCGGGAAGTCTCAGCTCTGTCTCTTCAACAAAGCTTCGGTAATAGTGGGTTTGAGCTCCTCCAAACAATTCCAAATCTCTCCATGGTTTTCCATGATAAGCTTTGGTTCTCTTGCCATCAGTACGTACATAGTACACATCCCTCCCTTGAATGGAGCCAAAGCAGCTCTTGCAATCTGCATTCCTCCGAAAAACGCAAACGCAACCAGGACATCTGCCGTCAAGACATCGCCAGTCTCTGCAATAGGGCCAGGCATCAGGGTTACCAAGAGGTATGTTGTCGTGGCAGAAATCCCTGCAATGACCAGGGGAAGGTGATTAATCATCTCGGACAATCCAGTCTCTCTGTGCAGAATGTCCAAACCCGTGCTCATCAACAAAGTGACACCAACTTGATTAGCTTTCCAGTAGGGAAATCCGTCTAGTGCAATGATTACAAATACCCAATCGTTAATCTTGACATGAAGTGCTGCGTAAAGTGGTCCCATGTACACGAGGAGCGACATTAATGTTGCGGTAGTTGCAGAACGAAAGGAATCCCTCGGAACAAGTGCCAAATTTTGCGTAAGAACCATGGTAAGATCTTTGAGAAAGAGGGACAATGAGAGCAACCCTGCTCCAAAACATACGCTTCCGCAACTATGTCTAAGTATTCTGCGAATAGACGTTTGAACTTTTGATTTTTCCAGGCCAGTATGAACTTTGAAAATGTGCTTTTGGATGGCGACCGTCGCTAGTGTCTGGCCTAAGGAGGCTATAACTTGAGTGACCCAGTATGTCACCATAGACAGGAGGAAAATTGTCATAATGAACCTCGAAGGATAAATGATTCGGTCCTTGGTACATCTTGGAAAAGAAGTATCCCAAATCTGGCGCATTGAATAAAGAACTGACAAATAGCCTCCAAACACCAGCGCTGTCATCGCGCTAGTAGAGATGCTAAGCGCGAAAAGGGACCATGATTTGATGCTGAAGAGCTCCTGCGCTAAGACCCGCGACCAATGCCTAGAATCGAACCAGACAATGAGCCATATGACCGAGATTGCCGTGAAAATAATGCTGATCAAGGAAGCTCCCGTTTGCTGATGAAAAGCCAGAAGCATAGCGCTAACTAGTCCGAAAATTGCAGCAGCGGCGGAGAACCATTGAGTGAGGTTGGACTTTCGAAGAATTGAGCTTGTGACCAGGACGAAGAGCGACAATAGGAAGGAGATGCCAAATGATGGCGCCCTAATCGAGGTAAGTTAGCCATAAAGAAAACAAAAGTGAAGGCATTGTAGGAGCGATGTAGAGGGGTTTATATAATAGAGAAATAAGAAAAAAGGATAGTCTAGTAGATGACAACCATTGAACACATGACAATTTTTAAATAAACGACAAGTTTTGAATAAATGATAACCATTGAAGAAATAACGATCTTTGAATGAATAACAAGCTTTGAATGAATAACAAGCTTTGAATGAATAACAAGCTTTGAATGAATAACAAGCTTTGAATGAATAACAAGCTTTGAATGAATAACAACTTCTAGATAAATAAAAACCGAAAGGAAATAGTAAAATGAACTGAAAAAATGAACTTACAACCAGATTATCTTCTTCCTCAGCAAAGCGGAAGCCTTTCTCGTCTCAGCAACATTCATCGGTCCGGTCCCGCAGTCGAGTTCGTCCAAGTGGGCAGAGAGGTAGGTGCTAAGAGCAACCTCCTTCTGGGCCGCAAGGACCGTAACGTAAAGCCCGAAGGCAACTGACGCGACCAGCGACGCGATGAATATGATGAGTGCCCAAGGGACACCACCCCCTGGGACTTGCTTTTGTATGGTGGAAGAGCCACCACTTAAAGAAATGCCCGAAGGCGAACGGAAGGAGGTGCGCGAAGACACACGAGAAGAGTTGCCTGAAGGCGGATTTCGGCGACGCGTTGGCATGGCGCCGGGGAAAAGAGGGAAGAGAGAGGAGAGAGAGGAGAGAGAGGAGGCGGAAGTTGCGGGAGGGCGGGAGGGCGGGAGGGCACTTCTTGTTGCTGTTGTTGCTGCTGCTGTTACTGCTGCTGCTGGAGTCGTGGTCAAAGTTTTAAAAGAGAGGGTGAGAGGGTGTGGGAGAAAGTGAAGTTAAGTAAATTACAAAGTGGCAAACTCACTTAATTTAGGGTTCTTTCCCCAAACTCAGGTGAAGGAAGGAATGAACATTGAAGATATGGTGAAAATGTGAGCCCGATCGCCGACCTACCTATTTGAAGTGAGCTCATGTTGATTGTACCTATTCAATGTGAGATCATCCCCGATCTACCTCGTAGAGGTTGTAGATCCAAGGGTGTAGGTTAATGCTAGAGACTTCATTGCACCATTCCACCATTCCAATCACTTTATCCTCACCGTTCCAACAGTTACTGATTGCTAACAACGATGTACAAATGATGTGACAATCGACTTGAGTATGACAAAATTAAGAGAAGAAAAGCTCTCGCGTTGAATCAAACATTTGAGAGAATTATGCTAAGTCTTACTGGGCCTCAAGATATGCCAACAATGTATCTCAGTTTCTCTCATGCATGATTTGGAATGTCCAACATAAAACCGAATACACCAGATGCAATTACCAATACTATCGCTATGATAATTCCATATGCAATTTGACCATTGACTCTATGGCTGCATGTAAGAGTCGTGAGTATAGAACGGGGAGCATCAACCTACCAAAACCAAATGCTCTGAAGACGAAGAGCTTAGTGATACCATCAGCATAATTGAGAGAATGATATATATCTAAGCTTCTTACTTCAAAATGTCTGAAAGATACAGGCTTATATGGCATTGGCAGTGTTAATTTGAATTATGTAATTCACAACAGCTCCTACTCACTTTGTGAAGTCCTTGACAGCAGTGATGTTGGAGTCTCCGTGCAATGAAATACCATCTATTTTCTTACCACGTTTATCCTTCCCATATTCGAGAAGAGATTTTCAGGAAATTGATTGACCGGTTCTACGGCTTGAGATTTAATGCTTTAATAAGTTGTTATGAGATCAAGAAAGAAAGAAAGAAACGTGACATCGTGACAGTTTGGCAATGCTAAAGCCACATTAACTCAGCCACTGTCACGCCTCAGTTTCGTGCAAAGCAACGTGATATTCGCCCGTGTTCTCAGTTTGAACATTTCACAAGTACACCTATTAATAGGTAGGTACTAGATGTACATTGATACTTCATCATCATTCCAATACTTATTGTCAATCATGCCCTACCAATCGCCATCATTACCTCAATATCAAGGTAACAACCGAACCGTATGGTCCCAGACAGTAGTTGTCATGCATGTTCGCAATTTGTCGGTAAATGATGGTAGCTTTGGGAAATACCAACGTTCATCATCCCCTTTCCGCCGCACATCTTATGCGCATACTTTTTTCTTCTCAGTCTGGGTCAGAGGTGAGTCCTCAAAGGAATCTTTCAACTTAGTCATATACATAGGTCGAAGATCTTCTTATTTCCCTTTGCTTGATAGCTCAGATGCAGTTGTGCTAACTTGGGTTCGCACAAATCTAGCTTACCTCCACCCTCGCCTTCTCACCAGCTTCATTCGTAAATAACCATGATTCTCTTGTTCCGTACCTCTCCTTACAAATGCACATCTGAATGCCTCTAACTCTATATCCTCCTCATCTTCCGACCGCAGAGTCCCTTTCCTCAGACGCCAACACGACAGACCCTCCGGTAACACAAGTCAGTACAAAGCATCAAGACGCCTACTCAACCTCGACAAAACTTTACTCCCGAAAACCCCGACAGTCACACTAGAGATCGATAGACGAACACCTGCTAATATCGATCCTTTAGCTACATTAATCCCTGTCTACCGACAAGAACCTGGTAGTGCATGGTACAAACTTCCAACTTTTCGGCCATCGACTCTGTGGGGCTTGGGTACGAAGACACATTTGAAAGCTGATGAAATGAGAGAAAGGGTGTAAGAGCTTTGGAAAAGGACGACATTCGTTTCCGTTTGAGATTGTGCCAGGGACGAGAGAGCATGTGCTGAATGATTGGGAAGGGGTGGGCAGATATCGAAAGATTGAGGAGAGATAGGCGGAGGAAAGGAGGAAGATGACAAAGGGGAATCATATGGGTTTGAGTGAAGAGTGGATGAGAGCGGTAAATCCAGCTACTGCATTCGAAAATAAACTGTGAGGATGCTGGACTGAGAGTTTGACGAGTCGTAGTAATAAATTGACTTTCTTCATTTCCGCCATGGTAAGTCTTACCAATGGATCAATAACCAAGTCAATAAGAATTAGAATGAAAACCACTAGGAAATCTTCAATAGATAACTCTCACCCAGAAATCAGAACCTAGCAACTAGTAGACTACTTTTTTCGTCGTCAAGTTTGCTCAGATGCTCCACTCAGATATGTACACACGAGTCCCAAAAAGATGTGTGCATACTATTTTGCAAAATGACACCCTTCCAAAATTCAACATGGCAGAACTTGTGCAGGATTTTGTGGTGCGTCTTCCTTCTCTTCTAAGGAAGAGACCTAAGGGCGCCCAAGCCCGACTGTTACTTGATAGCGATGGTAATATCTTTTGAAACGGTTCCATCAAAGTGAGTCGTACGGTCCAGGAGGAAGTAATGTCTTCTTTAAACATGTCCAAAAATGGCGCGTTCTTCCTCGGCGACATTTCAGCCCTAGTTCCATGTTTGAATGTTTGACTTCCACTAGAGACTTTGAACACTTCTAATCATCATCGAAGATCTCGCATTTCCCCTCTGACGAAAAAAGCACTCTGGATTTGATATTCCAATGTCGATTTTCATTTCAGTTATTGAAACATCTCTAATCATGCCCGAATCAACGCATGCCAAATCAGCATAAGCCAAACAAAACTTGATTTTGAATGCACAGCGCTTTATTTCAGACATTCGGGTGTTCAGCTCTTTTTAAAACAATGAGGTGATTTATAATCAATCACCGTTTCACCGCTAGAAGGTTTCCATTCATCTTGATCCAATTCGTCATTCAGATGTCTCTTTCAGCCACCGCAACAAAAAGCCGCTTCTTCCCCTCGTATCATCGCCAAGTTATCCCTAAAAATCTGCTCTTATTCTTCCCAGGCCCATTCGTTGCATCCGCATTCTCAAGGTATATCCTCTGATGCCCTTTCACATCCAAGAATAAGTATTTGTATACAAATTCGCTCTCCGATGGTGGCTTGATCATGTGTAGGTTCACCACACCTTGATTCAGTGGACCCTCGACATTAAAATGCATAACCAGGTGTTCCACTCCTCGACGATCCTTCGTAATGTTGGAACTGTATGTAACTCAGTACAATGGCAACACAAATGTAGTCAAGAATACATACGCAATAGGCCCAGCTCTGGCCCACTTGCTAGACGTTGGCTCGCCATATGCCCTTATCTTCTTTCCATTACCTAATACTTCTATGCACCGTGGATCCCTCTTGACTTGATCGGCTGCTCTATTGAATTGGTTGATTTTACTTTCGGGGGCAAACACTTCAGTGTAAAGAAGATAGATGACACCACCCTGTATTAAACGTTAGAAGGGAAGGGTATGGAAACATGGTGATCAACATACAGTTAATACTGTGCCGAGGAGGACGGTACCAAGATTGAAAGTCTGTTGAGTAGTTCTGGCAACCTTTTCCCGTCCCGACAAATCGCGCCACGGAACTCTGCCATCATCATTGAAGGTTGTAACGGCTTTCCTTTTTGGTTGCGACGAAGTATTTGTGGTGCCTAAGCCGGTATGTGTTGCATAAAGTCGTGCGGCGAGAAGTGGTCGCAAGGATGAGGGTAAACTAAACAGACATAAGGGTCTTATTGAAGGGGACATCTTTGGTTTGATGGGAGGTGGGTTGCTTTGAGATGGGAGAGAGGGGGGAGATGATTTTGAGATGGAAAGCCTGGATGTATTGAAAAAGGGGCAAGACGGGTACCGAATAGGACATCAATACATGAAAGAACAAGGCCTTGGTGGAAAGTGTGTATCGTTGTCGAGATGCAGTTAACGATGAGAATGAAGATATAAGAAGTGAAAAATGTAAATGCTATAAATCCTAGATAACCTTACAAATAAATTATCTTGAAGCTTCGAGCTATTGTGGGGTTAATGTTTAGTGAGTGAGTGGTGAGTGCAGAATCTTTTTAGTGCCTGTCTAAGCCTGTCTAAGCCTGTAAATCTAATCTAATGCCACTTTGCCAAAATAAGCTTAGTGGGCACGAACCTCAATTAACGTGCCAATGTAGTCCGTACACGGTAAATCTGGCCGTCCCTCAGACTACTCAAGAGTTTGAATTTGAATTTGAATTTGGCCACGTAAAAGGGGTCTTATTTCTACAACTTGGATCAACTTTCACAAATAAAGTCCACATCTTTCTAAGGTTGCCAACAATGGCCGCTCTTGCTTCCAAAGTACAATCGCAAAAGCTCTTCGAGAAGTTGAAGACAAAGCCAGCAAACAGGGTACGCAAGACAATCCTTCTCTAACAGTGTTCAACCATGATGCACATGCTGATTTATATCGCGGAATAGATCTGTTTTGATTGTGGGGCGAAGAATCCAACATGGACTTCTGTGCCTTTTGGAATTTACCTCTGCCTTGATTGTTCCTCGAATCATCGTAACTTGGGTGTTCACATCTCCTTTGTGCGATCGACGAACCTTGATCGTATGTGTAGCGGACAACCTGGACGCAGATTAGAGAGGCTAATGTGGTGATTAGAATGGCAATGGGATCAATTGCGAGTCATGAAAGTGGGTGGTAATGAATCTGCTACAAAATACTTCCAATCGAACGGAGGAACTGCAGCACTCAACAGCAAGGACCCTAAGACTAAATACCAGTCAAACGCGGCCACCAAATACAAGGAAGAATTGAAAAGACGTGCTGCCAAAGATGCTGCAGAGTATGCTATCTTCCGGAGGTTCTACATATCAATGCTGACAAATGTATAGATACCCAAATGAAGTTGTCATTACTGATGCTGCGAGTGATGCTGCTGACGGAACCTCCACACCTGCCGGCGAACCTGAAGACGACTTCTTTTCTTCTTGGGATAAGCCATCAATCAAACGACCAACTCCTCCAGTATCTCGAACCGCCACACCACCTGTTGTCGGGCGCACACCCTCCCCTTTTCTCAATGCCGGCGCCAATGCTGCTGGTAATGGAATCGCGAGGGCAACATCACCACTCGGAAAAACAGAAGGTTCAGCTGCAGCGCCTACAGCTAGCCGTATTACATCGTCCGCAGCATTGCGCAAAGGGACCACAACGGGGGCAGGACCACGAAAAGCCAATGTTCTCGGCGCCAAGAAAACCAAGTTGGGTGCGAAGAAGGTCACAGGCGATGCGATCGATTTTGATGCTGCCGAACGAAAAGCAAAGGAGGAAGCCGAGAGAATTGAGAAATTAGGTTATGACCCTGAAGCTGAAGAGGCTGCGACAAAGAAGTCATCTGCTATTAAGACATCAGACATTGCCGCGCCAACACCTGTCAGCCCGGGAAGGGCAGGATATGGCCACAGCAGAGAGCGGTCAAATGGTGAGGTCGAAAGGCTCGGAATGGGTATGGGTCGACTTGGGTTTGGTCAGATTGGAGGCGCAAAACCTGCAGCTGCTACACAAAAGAAGATGGGTGGTTTTGGCTCAGTGGGACCTATCAAGGCTACAAAAGAAGGTATGGCATCACATCTATGGGCTATCACATTTTTGGTTTCAGGGCTAACATTTATGCAGATGACGAGGAGAAATATGCCCGCCAAAAGTTCGGCAGCCAAAAGGGCATTTCGTCCGACGAATTTTTCGGCAAGGGATCATTCGACCCGAACGCACAATCAGAAGCCAAGACTCGTCTACAAGGTTTCGAAGGGGCTACAGCTATTTCATCCAACGCTTACTTCGGAAGACCCGAAGAAGAAGAGGCGGGAGAAGATTACGGAGATCTTGAAACTGCCGCAAAGGACTTCGTGAGGAAATTTGGTGTCACAGCCGGTGATGATTTGGATAATTTGACACAAGTCCTCGGAGAGGGTGCAAGCAAACTTCAAGGTGCCATCAGAAGTTATTTGAACGGCTAAATCATGGTGGCTGATGCAAGATGGGGGAGTCGGGCGTTGGTATGAGCTTTATGTGACATGCGGCATTATTGATGGCAAATCTAAGAACGAGACGAACAGGCTCTTAAGATCGCAGACCGGGTAAAAACTAATCCTCATAGAATTCAATGAGGGTAATTCATTTATTGTCTTATGTATATATTTGTCTGTTGCAATTTAGATGGCATGTTGTATTTTTCGTGGCTAATTTGGCTAATATTGACCTCTGAATGCACACCGAAAGTTCGGGACGAAAGCTGTGAAAACTTGAATGAAATCAATCGTTCAGATATATTTGACGTTAAAATAAACAATATACTAGGTGAAATCAAAACGATAGTTACCAAGGCATCTTAGTCGAATCTCTAAGCCATTGACATCCGGGGTGGCGAGGTAGATATTTTTGTCTATCATGAAGCTTTTGTATGCCCATATTCAAGCACTATCACATCATCCGCCTAATCCGGTGAGCAAGATCACTAGCTCACTTCTTTTACTTGTCCGTATGTATTTTACGATAATTTAGAGGTTGTCAATATGTTTTCGGGTAATAAAGAGGCAAGATATACACATATGTTCGGGACAGTATAAATATCATTTGAAATCAATCATGCCTGCAGCTCGTACGTAGATCTTTACGAATCTTAATGGCTCAAATCTCATCAAGAGATAGTTAATCATCACTGCTAATAAGATAATAGCCTCAGCGAAAATAATGGAAAATCCTACGGAAGAAGTATTCTTACTAGACTTCTTCACATCATCTTTGGGTTTTGCCACTGGTGCTGATGTTCCATTTTCTTTTCTATATCTAGTGCCCCGACTCGCATTGGAAGGGGCTTCATGGGACTACTAGAGGTGTCTTTTCCATCTGGTGTCGAAGTTTTATTTGTTCCATGTGATTTGTCTGGGATAGGGTCGATGGTCACATTAAGAGAGGCACCATCAGGAAGAGTCTAGTTAATGCCTAAGCTCGATATAATTTTCCACCTCGTGGAGACAAACTTAACGATCATATCTTTCAAAAGTGGAGGGCGATGAAAGGTAACAGAGACAATCTTGTGCAGAATCAAGAACAAGTTTGACGGGGGCATATGCAACGATATGTACAGCCAACCCTTTCAAATTTTCAAACTATGCTACCTACTGGGAGCTATTCCTGATACGAAATTACCACATTCTAGGTCGGCTTTAGTAGTGTAAAATATGGGAGAATTCTACCTCTGCAAATGCAAATCTTGGCGCTTCAATTCAGATGGTAAAAAAGTCAATCCGAATAGTTCTTGTTGACCTCCATGAGTAGATTCACTTCCTTTAATTCTTAGGCAACCCCTGAAGTGCTGTGGTATCAGATGATAGGCGACGTCTAGTGGTGAGCCGCATTTTGAGCTGCATATTTTAGGTGCATCCGAGCTATTATTCACAAAACCAGCTTGGGAAATATGGCACGGAGAAAATATCATCCTTCGCCCGTTTATTAGATATTGGAATGGGGTTCTGGAGGCTCATTGCGCAAAAAGTCTTGTCAAAATTTTCTACCTAAGCAACCCCCTTACATGTGTAGTCGTCTAATGAGTGGCTGCTCAGGGCAAGATTCAATCTGATATTTTTGTAGGATATTGGTCCACATTGCCGAAATTGCATTATTAAAGTTTCAGTCAACTAAGCTTGTAAGCAGTAGGAGAAATTGACCCAACGGCATTCAAGAACCAACCTTAGCAACTTTCACTCCCAAGCCTCGAGATATTATGCCACAGATATACTGGAAGGATGAGGCTTTGAGCCAAGAATGAGTGCAAAGAATCTCACATTAAGCAGATCGAGCATTATTACCGCATACTCCCATCGCGGTTGGGTCCAAGGCTACAAGCGAATGCACCATTTCCCAGAACACTTTCCCATTTACTAATTGAGAAGTAATGAATATACATTTGGTTTTACTTAATCTGATATAGATGGACAACCTTATTAATCCCACTGGAAGTGAATTATTCTATCCCTTATTGCACCAATACCCACTGCGAGAACATTGTCATATTCAATTTTCATGCCTTGTCATGAGTCTAGACTCTGCACGGACTGATGCACTTCACCGGGTGAACACTGGGCAACATATTCATGACTAGTTCCACATGTAGTCACCGATTGGGAGACAGGGCCTGCTAGATGTTTTGTTATCGGTTCAGAGAATAGTGGTCAAGCGAGAAATGGGTTGATGCAATACAAGTCGAATTAGACGAAGCTACCGGATCATTCAACTAGTCCTATTAACTCAACCCGTCGAGGTGAATACCTATATATAAGCATGAAATGCAGTTAGCCGGAGGGAAAGAGAGAATCAAGGGTGAGATGGGGAGGAAGGAGTCTTATATTGGGGAGAAGGTGATTCTTGGCCAAATTTTGGGTGCTGGCATGGATGAAGCGTTGTAAAATTTAGCCGCAATATCACTAGTCTTGTAGTGTATTTTGGTATGATTTAAAGAACTTAGTTGGTGGAAGTAATGTCAGGAAAGTACGATCTAACCTTCGCTTCCAGATTATCCATGATGAGGCTGAGATGCTGCTCGTTGTTATGACCGTTACTTTACTGTGACTAAAATTTGTGCTTATTCTATCACCGTGGTTCATTTTTCGCCACGGTCCTTGGATGTCATTCGCGATTCACACGGTATTTTACAAACACGCCGTGCTAACCGCCTCGTAGCCAGACCTAGCTTCCATACAGAGGCGAACGTTGCAGACTACTATGTGTGCAAACAAAGTCACTAAAGAGAAAAACGGGGTTGTTTTTACTACCAAAGCCAAAGAAAAGATGATTTTCCCTCCTTTTTAAGAGTGTCTATGGTGATCCTCGGCTGAGGACCCATTGAGTAGTCAAAGGCTCAACAATCTAAGACTATCAATCCCCATCAAATCCTTCACACTCGTGAGCAATTGCAAATCTAATATGAGATATCAACTTCTCCCTTCAAGTACTACTTAGCACCTAATCGAGAGAGCCAATCCTCCAAGACCTGACGTTGAATAGGAAGTTGCATCATGTGGCCTGAGTATCTATCACCTTCGAAGCCCTTGATACGACAGGTATACTGCCACCCACTGCTGCTTTGCCGTAGGATTTTCGCTGGCTCCCCCCGACATCTCTCACAGCATACCGTTGACCAACTACACAGTATGATTCCACAAATCTCTCCTGAAGTTCTATTGTCATTCCTTTTCGTAAATATGAGTCAATCAACAGTAGTAGTAGTTAAGTAGAGTGGATATGATAATTAATAATGATGATTTTGAGTCATCAAACCCGACACAAGTCCCCCACTATTGACTAGACTAACCTAGCGGACACTCCTTCATCGCTCTCGCCAATTTGTTGTGCGTCTTAAGGTTCCGGGGCTCCAGGGGCAGAGTGCCTAATGACGCTATAACTGCAAAATGCACCGTGCTGAAGCACCTACAATAAATAGTATATAGAACCCCAACAACGCCATAAGTCTTAACTCATAAGTCTCTCATCCGAATTGTCCTTCAAATTGAAAGCAAATCTACAAATCTACAAATCTACCAGACCACCAAACTTATTCTTCATGCCTAAGAAAAGATTCACATCACAGTACTCTAAACCTGCCAGTACAGTCCATCCATCACTCAATTCTAATGCTTCTGCTTCAGCATCGGCATCGCAAAGTACGTCCCTCATACTGAACAAAGCCTAATTTACCCCGCCACCCTCCTACTGATGATTCACACTAATGCGCGAATTGTGCAACAGATAAAAATGTTCCGTCCGTCAACGATTTAATAAACTCGGCCCGCAAAATTGGTATCTCTCCTACTGAACACCTTCGCGCCGCCTCTTCGCTCAGTCCCTCTTCTCATACCCTTCCTCCCCAAATCCGCCATCTTCTCTCCCATCCCGAAACACCTTCCCCCACTCCCCGCAGACCCATTCACAGTCGGCGTTTTGATGCCAACGGGCGTCGCATCCCAGCAGGCCCTGCTCCACCCAGAAGTTGGCTCGAAGGAAGTAGGCACGCGCCTGCTGATGTGCGAAGGCGATTCCGTTTACAACAGAATGGAGAAGAGGGACGGTTATTCCAGAGATCGGTGGATTGTTTCCCTGGTCTGAGTGATGACATGAATGGGAATGGGCGAAATGGGGGAAGAAGCCTGCTAGAGATGTGTTTGAGAGGGTTGGCAAGGGATTGGGAGGAAATGAGTGTTTATGAGTCGAATAACTTGGCAATGTTACCGGTAGGGCTGAGGATGGCGCTGTTAAGTTATATCGCGGTTTATGGGCCGGAGGAAGGGATCGGATTTCAAGCGTTGAAGAAGCTACTTGTTTCGCCGATACAGGAAGAAAGTACGGGTGAAAGTACAGGTGCATTAGAAGGACGAATCGATCAAGAGACCGAAAATTGGGAAGAAGAAGTTGATGGGAGGTCTGCTGGAGGGAACAACGATGATTTTTTTCGATTGGATCTTGGTGGATCAGTGGGAAGGTCGGTTAGCTTGAAACAGCTGTCAAATATTCTCGCAGCTACTCCCATAAATAAAGAGACAATACCTCGATCTCTGCCAGCAATTCTTCCACACCTTACCCATCTATCACTCTCACATCCTCCACGGTCGATCTCTTGGCCTCGTCTTCTAGCTATCACGCCCCATCTCAAAACCATTACTCATCTCTCTCTGGCTTACTGGCCCGCTCCCTCACTTACACCAAACTCAAGCACTACTGTTTTTGAGTCTCCGATATCCGGAAGGAGAGATATTCAATATGGTGCTAGTAATATGTATTCACGGACTTTAGATGGAGACTTTTCGGAGTCGGCATTGGTATTGAAAAAATTAGCAAGCGGAGTCTACGGGCTTGAATACCTGGATTTAGAAGGATGCATAGATTGGATACCAGCATTAGAGGATGTCAATGGTGTTGATTGGGGTAATCAGTGGAGAAGGTTGAGCACTTTGATATTGAGGAGTGGGATGAAGGAAGAGGGTCTGGATTCCGAGGCGTCTGGTTTTGAAGGGTGGTCTGAAAAAGAAAAGCTTATTTATGGGAAGGCTATATCGGATGGGTTGCATGCCGAGCATCATATTAATAGGATGAGGAAAAGCAAAGGGTTGCAATGGATGAATATGATTGTCGACCCGGATTCCAAAGGGATTAGATCGAGGGTCCCTAAGGAGTCTTCAGAATCAATTGCTACAGGTGCTCTTACTAGGAATTGGAATGACGAATTGGCTACAGCGATTGCTAATAGTGCCTGGGAGTCTTAAGTTAGTTACGCATTGCATGGCGTTTGATTGATGAGCATTAGGTTGGTATAAGCGGGATATATGGATAGTTAAATGAATGGTCTCTTGATGGTTGACTTTGTATATAAGGCACAGCGAGTATAGATTAGTCATTGAAATGCTCATAGCAAATATTTTTATGCCAAAAATAGAAATTGCAACATGGACTGCTGAGTTCAGTATCTTATCATGCCCTCCGATATCAAGGTCAAAAGATTGAGAGTTTTGAGAGGGGATGAATCAGAGACAGAATGATAGATGCTCTGGACTGCAGCCTGTCAGTAAGAGAAGCTCACTTCGATAAATTAGATTTATATATTGAGCGTATAGACATTTTGCCTTGTTTGATATTTTGAATTCATTCAATATCTTCAATCCAGTGGTATCAAGAGTTTATTCTCAGCATTCAGATACCCTGGGGATTAAGATCTCTATATATGCTGCAATCTGAAATATAGATAGATGCTCTGAACGTGAAAACCACATTGATGATTTCTCGGATTCGCTTCAGGAAGATTATGTGGAAGGGGCGATTGTTTAGCATCAGCACTGTTCCTTTGGCTTCAAATATCAACTATTTTATGCAAGTAATCTTATGTACTTTTATATCTATCATATTTTAGTAGTCAAAGTAGTTAAAGTAGAGCTCCTCTTGCTTTCTTGTTTCGACTCTCTCTGACAGACATCTGATTCTTGAGGTTGACACATTCATTCATTGTGAAAATGATAGATGTGTGGCTAGATGGGGTGAGCTGAAGGAGTTTAGGAAATTAAAATATAGAGAAGACATTAAAATCGACGGAGAAATATTAAGCTATTGAGACAATGAGTTTGGGTATCCTGGGATGTAAATCCATGTATCCATGGAATCTCTATTGATATGTACAATCAAAAATGAAGAAGTGGTGATGTTGGAATTCAGTCATAAATAATCTTACGTTGCAGCTCATCTAGCTATACACCTTACCTTGTTCAAGAAGCGCAGGGACCAGAACTGATCAAGAATAATTCATGCTCTCTAACTATGCATTTGTTCTTGAGTCTCTTTTCCCTGAGAGATGGTCATGTTTCTATCCTTACTCTCTTTCAAGGCGTCATGGTTTATCATGTGCTTTGATCCTCATTGCTCCATCCGTTCTAATTGGCATCAAATCACTATCTAGAAACCTATTCCTCCATTTCTCCTTACCTTATTTCCCCTCACTTCATTCCTAAATCCATAACTAGATCAGTAAGACCATAGCATAAACAAATTAGCCAAAGAAAAAACTGATAACAAAACGTCAAACTAGCCGTCAATTAGTGAACTAGCGACTAAACCTCATGTACAAACAGTCGCGACTTCGCTTCTTTGACAGCATGAATTAAGCATTAAGGGGGTGGGGTCGGCTGTGCACAAGTGAAATTAAGCTTCGAAAGGGAGTTGCTTAGTTAAACCAGCATCGGTGTGGGGCCGAGAGATACTAAAAAGGCGGAGCATATTCAGGAAGAAGCTGCCTGTCTGCCTATAGAAATAGGGATATACCTTGCAGAAATGCCATTGTTGAGATTTCGATAGCTTCACGTCAATAAAAAATGACCCCTCTTTACAGACTTCAAATGTCTCCCGCACACAAAATTTGCAACCGAGATAGGTACCTACCTGGTAGGTATACGTGATATCAATTCAAGCTTTTGGGACTTCGGATCACGCTTTCGGCTTTACTGCCGAATTCTATTAGCGTATAGATGGGATTTGCTCAATGTGTGGTGGACTGGGGTGCTTAAGAATGGGGGATCTGCGTATAGTGGTAGTAGTGGTGCGAGAACCTTATTTAGACATACATTTCACTCACAGATGATTGAGTGAAGCCTGGAGGTAGGTGCGTGAACAGCGCTACAGAAAGTATGGCATCAAATTTAATTCTGCTTCGAGATTTCCCGGCGTCTCCGTGTCACTTGAGGTGGGTGGGTGTGCTCGAGTCCCGAAAGCTTATGATTGACGGCCGATGTAGATAGTATTCAGATCGGCACCATCTATTCTAGGCAGAATCGACATGGAAGACTGCAAAAATTAGTTTCGGAAGCATGATGAGGTAAAGCATAGTTGAAGACAAGACGGTGAAGAAATTCGAACACGTTCTTGGTGTAACATAATTTGCTTCCCCACTAGTTCTTCGTCATCAGTATCGCCAGCCTCTCCCACCGCCATCTAATCTCTTTCTTTGCGTGCTTGTATAACATAAAATATATGCATTACGCCCCCAACTTTCATTCGCGTTAGTTCCTATCCTTGTAACTAATAACCCTCTAACCTAATCACATCATTTATCCACCCACCTCCTCATCACCAACTATCCATGAGCATGCCTGCATCCTCATCTCAATCCAACCCAACCAAAACGGAAGTATATCAGCCTTGTGCAACCCCGGGATTGAGGGGGATTGCAAGTAGCAATTTAAAACACTCCATGCTAGAACTATCCCTGGGGAATCCCACTTCAGCAAGTGGAATGATGAGATAGGAAATTACTTTGCTTTGCTTTACTTTGCTTCGCCTCACTCATTTTGAATATAGTTCTGACACGCACGCGCATACGCGCACGTACATACGTCTGCATTAGGGTGATTTCTTTTCCCATTGCTATACTTGGGCCAGGTGCAGAAAAGAGCTGCAAGCTAGTTTGTCTTGTCCTGTTTTGTCTCGTTCGCTTGTTCGTTTTGTTTGTTTGTTTGTTTGTTTTGCCACGGTGATGCTATTGTTATGCCGACTCAGGCTGTGGACTCAGGGAAAACTAACGAGAGGATCCGAGATGTTGGGCTCGGGCTTCGCGCATGAAGCAAACATGTAGGCGCATGGAAAATTTTCTCTGTCTGTTATTGGGGAATTGTTCTTGGATCTGCTATGCATTGTTGTCAAGCATGATCAGGGAAGCATAGGGAAGTGGCGTGTGATTGTTTATCTTGATGTGCTGTATGGAATAGGCTATGGTATGGATGTTCGCCCAACGACTTAGACCTTGAACACTTCATGGTGCTGTGCCTTGCCCCTTGCCATTGCTTGAGATATGCATCATGTTGAGTCACCCAATACGTTTGCGCAAGCAGGAGATGTCTCTGTTAGTAATGTTAATTGTTAAAAGTGGAAGATGGAAAAATGGAATTGAAGATTGCAGTAAGGTCCCGGAGAACACCCACCTGACACTCCTGACGATGATTCAGACCCCCACGCCCAACTCCAACCGCAACCATACCATCCAAGCCAATACCTTACACAGCGGCCACGCTAGACAAGCAGTATGAAAGACCCATCCCACGAAAACGAAATCGTCCTTAGCCTTCCTTAGCCTGACCCCCAATTTCGATCCCCTCAATCCTCTTTATCATGTATCATAATCATTCTCGCATCTATTCATCTGAATAGGAGGTCGAGTAACACAGAAATTGAATCATCTTCATTGTGTTCAATTCAATTTAGACTCAGCCCAACACTAACCCCAACCATTGAAGTACGATTTTCAATCTGAAAGATCGTCGACTCATCTCAACGCCACCAATCACACCATCTCATCACGAAAATCTTTGACTCCTCTTACCGTTTCCATTACCTATCTCCTCTCCATTGCGCTCAAAGGGAAAAAGTCGCATCGGCACACCATATTACAGAATTCTCTTCCACATTGTCATTGAGCAAATCGGAAGGTCAAAGAAATATCCCCATTTTCCAAGAAAATCAAGATTTTCTTCTCCTTTCTTTTTTCCATAAAAATATCCCTAGTACTTGTGACAGACACAAGCAACGAAGCCGAATCTACACACCAACAAAACGGGAATTCAACCGAAAACCTCATGGGAGCCGGACTCTCAGCCGATTACTGTCTTGAAGACACCTAGTTCGAAACTTTGTGTAGCCTTTGGTCATGCGGCTGGATGTTGTGTAATGTTGGTGATTGATTGAAGGGACAGGGTGAGATATTGGTGGAGATCTGTGCGTCGCCATCTTGCTGAAAGAATTGTTTGGTTATTGTGATAGGTGATGATTGGAGGGAGACGAGGGGAAGATGCTTGATAACTTGCTCTATGGATACTTCACCAGCTTTACCGTACTGCGTCTCGTATCTTATGAATAAACATGCATGTACCTGGTACGTAGATAGGTCACTACTGTCGACTTAGAAGCCCAAACCTTATAAGGTAGACAGACTACTGACTAGCGTCATCAATTTAAGGAGAAGCGGGAGAGATGACGAGGACAAACCGAGACTCTGGACCCGAAACCGGAGACTCGGATTAATGTAGATGTCAACGAAACGGTCTCACATTCCGGAATTTAAGGTTAAAAACCGAAAAGAGGCGCAAGTAATGAATCCATTGTTCGGGAATCCTGTTGTCGCTGCGGGTAGCGGCGGGGATGAACAAATCTAGCACTTGGTGTTCGTGAGATTAGATTAGAGATCATCATGGAGATGGTCATATTGATCCTGATTCTGATTTGATATGATAGTTATTGAGGCTTTTGATACAGATGATGTACATATCGTGATGGAAAGCCGGGATGATGAAGAAAAAGGTTTCGGGACGGGGGAAAGACGATGATGGTAATTATTGCTTGGAAGCGAGAGATGAAGCAGAACAAGAGAAGAATGAGAAAAAGAAAGTACTCTGAGAGAAAAAGTGGAGATGATTGGATGAATATCAATACTCTTTTCGGTATAAGTCCACCTAATAAACGTTGAGCAGGAAAGAAAAGGTCTAAGCGTATAAGAATGTTTGCTGGGATTTTTCCATGCGCATGTGAGGGTATTGAAGGACAATCAGCCCAAATGGTGATGAAGGGGCGAATAATCAATTAGACGATATCAATGAGCTCGTACGAACTACGCCATTGATTGATTGATTGATTGACCTTGCCCAGATCCTAGGGATTATAAGTCTTACTTGTTTAGTAGATTAGGATTATTTTTCCAAATGTTTAATCGATGATTAAATAATCGTAATAATCATAATAGTCATAGGAAAGTCATACGATGTGGATAATCATATCTTTTCCATCACCTTTTTCATTCAACATCATTTTAATTGGCTTCAGCATATTGTTGTCCCGTCTTACAGATTAACCCCGCATAGTCCCGACCATTAGAAACCCTCGTACGGGATACATCAATGTGAACAAGGATTAGGGTTTTTTGAAGTGGTCTTACAAAAGGGAAACAAAAAATGCCCTGTATTATATACTATATCTAGATATGAAATATTAAAGATTAGATATGTAGATATTTAGATATTCAGATATCAAACATTAAATACTAATTAGATTTACCTGACTATTATTTAGTTGAACTTCATTTGCCTGTTTTCTTAACAAAACTCTCCATATATGCTGCGGCATCCATACTCGAATAGGCCAAAAGCATCCCATAACATCAGAGGCACGATTCGCAAATCCAAACCTGCAGCAGATCTTACATCAATAGGAAACTGGTATTTTCTGCTAATCTAATTATTATCCCTGATCAGTGACCTTCCGGATGCACCCTATTGCTTCCCTCGCTAAAGCAGACATTTTCCGATGTTGGTGCATTGCTCGTTGATATTCCTTGTAGAGAGCAATTAAAAATCCCCTTGAGCTAATCATCATAAGGATAATTCCCATCTTGACTACGGTCGACGTTATATTGAGAAGCAAGCCACAAGTTTCCCAATATTCCTCCCTTATCTCAGCATAATTGTCTCTAGGCCCTGGGAGCAAAAGCCGAAACTTATGCCAATCACATCAACATTATCATGTACAACCGTTGGTCGATTTCCAATCAAATTGAAGGAAAAGGGGGAGGCACAAGAAGTTTTTGTTGAGAAACGTATGAGTTGCAGATATAAATGCCTTTCTTAATTGGCTATCTTCTAAAAATGGGTGTGTTACCTGGGGTGTTTATGTCTCGAGCGGGAGCGATTTATCACATGGCACAGAGATCGCATACCACACAAATTGAGCACGACACAGTGCCGCTGTGGTGAAACGTACAATACGATTGTGAAGAATTTCTTGGGATGAGGGATGAGGGATAGTGAAGGAGATAGAATTTATCCTCGAGGTTCTTCAAACCAATTGAAGAAAACTTATCAAATAAGACCTAGTCATTTTACGATTTTTCGGTCCTGAGGGTCTCTACCCTATATTGCAATAAGCATAGTATAAACCGTTGAGAGAAACAATAAAACCCGGCCCGAGCCGACAACTTACTTTCGATGGTATGCAGCATACATACAAAAACCTTTAAACAAGACTAGGGTTCGCGGATCATTCTATCATTCATCATTTGCTCTGGCTTTGCCTATTTCCTCAACCAATCCAATAACCAATAGTAAGCTGCTCTTAAACCCTGCTTTTATTTTTCCACTCGAGAGTAAAAAGTCGAGAAGACAGTGGAGATCGATAACTCAGTGGAGATCGATGACTCTGCTGGTAATCTAGAATTTCTCAAAAATCTACTTGGACTGGGAAAACCTGGGTTGGAACTTGGTTGTATGCAAGAGATGGAATGAAATTGGTATGATCCTGATCCAAGACCAGAATGAATGGATGGTAGGAGCGAAGTTGTTTTGTTTGTAATCTTAAGTGCATTTGGCTGGAAAGGATGTAAATGTAATCTTTGGGTCCATGTGCACTTTAACAAGTCAAGAGGGGAGAGGAAGGGGTGGAAATGAGTACGAAATTCACGTGCTTGGAGTGGAGGCGCTTGTGCTCCGGGTTCGTGCATCGACCATCCTCCCTCATGCAGATTTTATATGTGCGTGACATACCTTTCTGTATGTAGGCTTAGCTGCATGTGAGAAGGCGAATCGATTTGTGAACTGTTGGTAGGGCTTGTCCGTAATAATGTCTAGAATACGAAAGGTTATGGCGGATGATTAAACCTTGAAGCGCAATGTAATAGCGGTTTCGTTGGTGCTCTCTGATACACTAATCGACCAAAAGCCAACATCAGAAAGAAGATGCATCTGGTATGGCCTCCTAAACCCTAACTGAAGTCTTTTTAGCGTTGAAATAGCATATAAAGCACCCTAGCAAGTACGTTTTCAATCCTAGAAGGGTACCCAGGTTTTGATAGTAGCAAGTATAGAAGACTTGAGTATTCATTGATTTTGAGATGGAAGATGACAACAGACGCCATGGGGATTCTCCGTCATGGCTCGGAGTAAGAACTTAGCACTCTTGTTGAAGAAGGAATTATGGAGTCGTATGCATGCGGAAAGATAGTTGCCGGCATATTGCATTTCGTCAAGGACTTAGTGGAGCTCTTTCCGGGGCAGGAAGTTTTACGAGACCATGATCTACTTCAACAAAACAACGTAATTTCGACGTCCTCACTAAGGAGGATCGAGTTAGGAAGGTGATCGAGCGAAAGTGTTCATATCATATTAGCGTCATCTTGATTTCCAGCTAAGAGATGTCAAAAATGTCAAACATGGCGCGGCCTAGTGAAGCAGCTGATATGTCTACCTATGAATGAAAGCCGTGGTATGCCCCACTACTGAACCATTTGACTCGGTCAGTAAGGTCTAAAGAGGACGATAATAGAAGGCGTGGGTTTATTGTTGATACCTAGAAACTAGGCAATCTATCGAAGTATCTTAATGTCCCTGAAGTACACTAAAGACAAGCCACTACCATCCGATGAAGGATTTCCCACTGACTCCTATTGACTCCTTTCTGATATCAACGATAACTATGAGGGGCTGAGACAATAGACTCGGAAAGCTTCAAATGGTGCTATGTCACCACGGAGAGAAGGCCCTTTTCGTTTCTTTTGGATTGGGTTAATAGGGAGGTGAGTTGGATCCTGTAAGTTGCCTCCTTAAGTAAGTGTCGGTAGTTGCTTGCACCGTCTCATTTTTTAGGGCCCTGAAAATTTGCAAAAAGTGTGCTGTAATGTAAATCGAACTGAATGAACCCTGAACCTTGAACCTTGGCCTGGGTCTTGGACCTTGGACTTTGGGGTAGATCCGCAGACTTCTCACTAACAGTGGACTTCCCCATATACGCTAATCGATTCTAAACTAGTTAAAAAAATCGCGCAAGAAATTTTCTAAATTTGGTAGCAGGCAACCTCCTCATTCATGGTATTGAGTTTATAAAATCTCCAAACCACCAAATCTGCGCATCTACAAGAAAAGCAAGAAATTTCGAATATCGGTGCAGCCTTCGAAACAAGCCTGACGCTGAACTTGTTAATATTGTAGTGCCACATTGAAAAAGTCTCTCTTCCGTAAACCCAGAAAATTAAAAAATTTTCATTGGTTGAGGGCTGCATCCTCCTTCCCATTTACCAACCAGTGAGATATATTGGAGTTGTTATGGATGATGCATTTCGAGGATCATAGCTGGTAGATTCTCTGGGCATGCCGCATCCCCTATTGGCCAATGATTATTCTCGCTTCCATATGCACATCAGAACTTAGCTACCTCAGCTACCTTGCTACATGCCTTGCTTGCTAATACTCATTTTAAGTTGGCTTTAGGTAACTAAGTAAATCTTCTCCCCGTGCGCCGCTGATGATTTGCAGAAAAAAGAAATCTTGTGAGGCTCTCGAAGATGCTTCGGGCGACCCTCATTTGGCGGTACCTGAAAGATATGATAGCTCAGATTTGGTAGATCACCCACAGACGTGCTCCACCAAATCTAGATAGACTTTCAGCAATGAGATACTGTGTTCCTGCATCGAAGAACCCTCCATTCAAGGGCTAGTTTGTTTAATGCAGAGGACACTCAACACAGCTTGTTGCTTTAATTTTGAACTCTATATATTTTTTATCGGCTCTCATCTAGGTCCAAACCCTATCGGCAACGATCTTGAGTTAAGTTTTGAGTTGCCTGTCAGTAAAGCTTGAAAGGAGCTAATATGTTCGAGTCCTTACTATCAAAGTCTTAGTCGATTTCCAAAAACCACCATCATTGTGCTATTGATCCTGCGCAACGTTCCTGTTGCCTCGGAAGCTTTATTGATTCAAACTCTGTACGAGTATTTTTCGGTACCTCCGGCTTTGGTAACGTTAAATCCAGTTCCAGGAGGTTGGAACTCCCTATAGCAGTAGATCAAGCCGACCTGCTCGAAAGAGAAAGAGCTGATACGTACTAAAGAGATAGACGTATAGACTAACGCACGTGCTCATGATCAACGAATATCTTTTGAGACTTTTCAACCAAACTTGACGGTGTTAGTATCAATATTGAGTATCATATATCTCAGCGTTTCTCCTCGTTGAAAGTCTGCAACCTGCAATATACCCATACATATCAATATCATTAATCTGCAAGATCCTGCCTCTTCAACATCATCTCGCGTCAATATAAAATTATAAAATTACGTTACCAGAAAACGTTTCAAGTCAACATCAAGGATATCGACTTCCATTCATACACACATTATTACTCTACATGTCAAATTTGCATTGGCGGCAATCCAAGAGGCCATAAATCGCTAATTAAGCTTGGAATTCTGGGCAAATAACACCGCCGCTCTTCATTCATACATTCAAGCTGCAACGAATCGAAAATCCACTCGTCCCGTTAGTACATGAATCTCTGGTCATTGTTGTTGTCATTGATTTATCACAATCATCCTCCTTGAGCATTAACCGGTGCATTGGATCAGCCGTGCATTTTAGACCCCAGCCACGTTATACCCTTTTGGTGAAGGAGCATAATACCTATTCCTCATCCACAAATCATTTTCACCATCCCGAAATCGTCCTTCCTGCATTGAGTCGAGCGCGTTATCCTTGTTCATTTGATCGGAAGTCCATCTAAGAAATGCTTTGTAGGCTAACTGCATCACAACCAACAGTTTTCGTACGTTAGTTCTCAAGAATTTCTGCAATTTTCCGCAGTCTTATTGTTTCAATTGAACTCGATCGGATTAATCCCCGAAGCAAACGTCGAAACAAAAGAAGCAGATTTCCAGGAGAGAAGGTGGAAATTTTTCAATTCCAATTATATTTTTCCAAATTGCTCCGTTGAAGTTCTTTAAAGTACATACGATCTACCTCGTTAAGACATTCGAAACCCATACACGCGCACGCGCACGCATACCCACTATCCCCAACATATCTTCACCTGCATATTTTACGGTAGTTCCATACAACCTACCGTACTGTACCTACCTCAATCAAGCTATCATCAATCTGGAACCTTTTCATAATCGGCGTGCTCTTGCCTACACGCGGGTGCCCCTACTACACGCACGGCCTACTCAAGGACCGCTTTTACTCTATATTTTTTTCTAGACTTGGCTTCCAAATAAAGAGGATCAGCAAGCATTAGTTCTAGGATCTCGATTATCCATTTTCGCATCCATATACATCCAGCCTACCAAGGACGCACTAAACCGTCACTGTCAGCATCGGAAGCCAGTTTCCAGTTTCCACGAGACGCCAACTACCACCCCCGAAAACTCAGACAGCAACATTAACAATCAAGGCCCGGAGCTACTCTACCGTTGCGCTTCCCCGACAAGGCAAAAACCCAGAAGGGCGAAAAAGGTTGGCCGAAAAGAGCAAGCAATTAAGCAAACAAAACGGGCGATACGGTGCAGCGCAGGACAATAACGATTGGACTAGCAAGTTTTCCTCGAAAGCCATTGGGAAAGAGAAATCAATCAAATAGGGAAAAATAGAAAATCAATCAAAAGCAGCTTTCCTTGGTTGCGAGGCTGTAGATTTATTTGAGAAGTCTTCACACCATCTTTTTTTTTTTGGATCATCACACGCCGCTTTCAAATATCCCCTGCTCGTAAGCATTCGAAACAATAAGCCGGGTACGGGTAAGAATTAAGCAAAGTAATTCAACATCTCCTTACCGGACGTTGAGAAGTACGGACGGCACTGCGAGGATATTCCTGGCGATTTCGTGCATATTACCACCTTTTCATTGCAGCCCGTCGCAATACATATCCTCGATACTCTAACTGGAAGTTTCGCCCCCTGTTCCATTAAAAGATCCCCCCCCCGGCCCCAAGTATCTCACACAGCCACTCACTGGTAGCGACGCTTCAGCGTAACTTTCGCTGAGCACTGTACTCTTGGTGGTTATTTTGGGCATTTTTCAAGGGGCATTTAATGGTATTCTTAGAAGCTAAAAGAAGAAGATCAACGGCGCAAGACAGCCACTCTCACCATTTTTCCAACCTCCATCACAGGCCTCTTTAACTTGGATTCGACAAGGCTCGTCAAGACCCCATCAAAATCGACCCATATCAAACTCCCCCATCCCAGGTCTCAAATTTCAATTTGCAGGGACTCGGCAAACCTATTGCATCAGTGCATTCGCATCAGTCATTACATGGTAATCAGACGACGAATAGGAAAAGACATTTCTTCTTTTGCATTCTTGGAGTGTAATTTCGCAAAAGCACGTACAGTAGCAGCGAGTAGCAGGCAACAAGCAGCAGCTTGCAGCGAAGAAAGGCGACTTTCAGGAAGCAGGAAAAAAGCAGGACCAAGACAGGGCAAGGAAAGGATAGAGAAGGGGAAGCAGTAGCAAAGAAAAGAAAAGAAAAGAAAAAGGAAGATATTGGGTAGGGAAAAAGAAACAGATTTTCGAGGTTGAATTATTTTTGCAAAGATAATAATTTCTTTGGCTCTAGCTTTAGCTTTTCGCTTTGGCTTTAGCCTTTTAGCTGTTTAGCTGTTTAGCTGTTTAGCTTTTTAGCTTTTTAGCTGTTTAGCTTTTGGCTTTTTGGCTTTTGGCTTTTGGCTTTTGGCTTTTGGCTTTTGACTTTAGCTTTTGGCTTTTGGCTTCGGCTCCAATTTCTTCCTTTCCATTTGATTTTTTGGCTTGGAATCAAAATCCCAAACCAAATAAAATCATTTCATCGCCTATACCTTTTATCGTCTACCGTACTGGATATTCCGTCTGCCACTCTTTACACTCGCACCAATTACTATATCAACATCAACATCAACTGATATCATCCATCATCCATCCACCCATCCACCCATCTTCCGATAAGAAAAAGCCTCCCATCAACAACTCCTTCGTTCAACCCCATCTTCTGGGACGAACGACGGTGATAAACTGTTGTTTGGTTTTGTCTTATCTTTATATTAGACAATCTCCATCATAAGAGAATTCTAATCCTCCCCACGCCTTCCATCCTTTCGGGTACTCTTTTTCCACCCACCCCGAACTGCCATCATCGTTTGACAGATTTCTTCCCCTCCATTGCAGTCTGGCTTGACGTCGAAGCTTTGGATTGGAGCTTTTTGTCAAGAGACGCAAAGGATTATCGTGGAACGTAGATTGAAGAGTGTGAGGCTGCAAATGAACGATAGTAAGTAAGCCAGCCCTTAATCCTTTTTTTCCCTCCTGCAACGCCTCTCTCTGTTCTTCAACCAGAATTACAACGTCGCTGCTTCCCTTCCCTTTCAGCTTTCAGCTCGATGATTTTCTGGAATATTTTCTGGACACGAAAACAAATTGAATTTTCTTGTGTCCGCCGAAAAATAATCCATTCTCTCGTCTCCTTTTTTATAATATATCCTCAAAAAAGCATTTATTAAAAAGAGGGGCGAAGTTAGAGAATAAATTTTGACGAGTTCGTCTCTTATTGATTTTGGGGAATGTCATTGATAATTTTCGCGAAATGGTTGGTGTAGTAATTCTCCATTCCTCCAATTGGTCTTTCATATCATATCATCTCATATCCTCATGTCAATTCACCATCATACCTCATACCTCGCTCATACTTCATGCCTCATGCCTTATACCTTATACATTATACCTTACACCTTACACTTTACAATTTTACATCTTGCACCTCACATATCACATCTCACGCCTGAAAAAGAACAGGGCACAGCAATACAGTGTAATGCCGGGCCCTGACAGTGAATTGGTCAAACGGAACGTCCCATGGAAAGAAAATTTCCGGGTGCGACGTCAATATCATCACACACAGAGACACACACACACACACAGACACACACATGCACACCACAATTCATCCCCCTCTCCTCCCAATTCACCCCTCAATTCACCCTCTCAATTGAATGTTGAGATTTTGGAAGAGGCGCACAAAGTAGCCTAATCCTAAAAACGTTATACATCCCACCCCTTAGTATCTAATCTGCATTTTGCCAGAAATTCCTCCCCCTCCCCTCTCCCCCAAAGAAAAACTTCATTAATCACATCTTTACGGCATAATTCACTATCTATCCAATAATCGTCGTCCTTGAAATCTTCATTTCTGTTCTGATTTCTGATTCCTGCTTCGCTTCGTTTATGCTTCTTAATCCATGAAGATTTCAATAACCTATCTTAATATCTTAAAACTCTTCGGAAATTTCTCATTCATCCGATACTAACCATTTCACCCAATAGTTCTTACACCTCAAAAGATAACACTCGATCACTTCATGTGCTCTCAATCTGGTAATATCCAAGACCTAGCCGCTTATTCAGGGCATTCGTCTTCGTGTATTGTCGGATCCGAACCAGAGCCTGACAGCTCTTCAAGACAGGAATTTGTTCACCCTTCGCAACCACCCTCTGACATGGGGATGCGATATTTGATTGCAGCGCCAGATGAAGTACGGTAAGTCAAACCCCGCTACCCCCCAAACTTTGTTGGTCATTTCTTTTCTCCCCTGTACCCCCGTCAACCTTGCATTTAGGCACATACGCTACTCCTTAGAGGTGTCTCTGATTATCGTTCGTTTCAAAATAATGCATGCATCTACCGCTTGTGCGATCAGCGCTAAAGCTGGTGTGGTGAACATGCCACGACTCATATCTCGTCATGGTTCTTCTCCAGTGGTCGCACAGCTTAAGCCTCAAATCAAGCCAAAACCACCTTTGCTTCCGCAATGGTTCGCATCACGCGAGTAGTCCCCGCTATTTTGTACCACTGACGGCTGTGCTGGCTGTCATACATATGCAGTCCAACTGGGCATCATTACTGCCATGAAGAATTTTAACCCATAGACCGTGTCCCCTCAGAACCTTATTTTTATTTGGTCTCACAGCCATGCAGACCCGTGGCTGATTGATAGCTCAGATACAGTTCCGATCCCGGTACCTCTCATAGCCCTGTGTTTTCGATAGAACCCACGATTCCAAGCTCAATCCCGTCCAATATCCCATTCCCTCCATACGCGCATGCCTATCAGTCACCGCTGAACGGTCCCACGTACTCAGGTGGGAGCAACTCGTACTTTTCTCCGAGCTCGTCGTTATTTTCTATGCCCGATATTAAGCCCCGCTTGAACTCTATGTACGTACCTTCCACCCCCTTTTAAGTACTTCGATACACCGTCATCTTCTGTGCACAGATAATAATGATCTATCCGCACAGTCACTCCTCCCCTGGAATGGCACCACCCTCACGCTCACCAGCCTTACCACACCTACAATCACCAATAAGCACACGAGATTTATACGCAGGTGCAACACCACATTTACGTCGAACGGACGGAATTTCCAGATCTCCGTCAACTTCTGGGACTGTAAGAGGCGTGCCGTTATCACCATCGACCAGCGGCTTCGCAAGTCCAACGAATATGGAGGGTTCTCAGCTTGGAGGGCAACTCACCCCTCCTCTCAATCCAACAGAAGTCATACATACTTTGCAGGCGGCTGACGGACAGATTATTACCCCGGAAATCTTTGGAAAAATCGATAAGGGATTTTTCATGGCAGAAAACGACTGGACTTGCTACAGGAGAAATTACTTTTCATTAAGTTGCTCATTCACACTTCAACCCATTGTACCAGCAGGAAGTATACATCTTTTGTTGCCTGGTGGGATGAGACCGCAGGTGCAACACTTTGCGATGTCCATAGCTGCAGTGGTGGATACGCGCGATGGGAAATCCATAGAATTGGTCCAGCACACTCCGAAACGAGACAAAGGACCACAAGAAAAGCCACCTCGACTTCCGGTTGCCCCACGGCCACATACAACACATAATATGTATGGTGGCGACAACGGAATTGGCGGCGGGCCACGTGGAATGTACGATGGATCCTTCGGCCAGTCACCAAATACCCCACCCACTGAAGCGACTTTTGAGCGTATCCAATTCAAAAATGCGACAGCGAATAATGGAAAACGGAGAGCGGCTCAGCAATATTATCATCTATTGGTGGAACTTTTTGCGGATCTTGGAAACAACCAGAATCATTCAGAACGCTGGGTGAAAGTTGCGATCCGCATGTCCGCACCAATGGTTGTACGTGGTCGCTCGCCCGGCCATTACCAAAGCGAACGCAGAGGTAGCAACGCGAGCTCTGGACCCGGAGGTGCTGGAGGTGCTGGTGGAGGCGGTTCATATACACCATCTGGCGGGTCCTCTCGCACTCCAGGCGATATTACCATGTCTGGCACTTCTTCCATGCTTCCTGGTTCTAGCAGTTATGGCTCTTACGATGGTCGATCACACCATTATCGCACTGGACCACTTCAGATTCCCATGGAGCCCACTCTTTCCGCTGAAGAAGCAAAAAATATACAGGATGCTCCCAACTACTTGTACTACCCGGCTGGACTATGGGACGACCAGGAATCACGAAATCAATTACCCAGTCTCCCGGAATATGCGCCAGGTAAAGTTAAGCAGGAATATACTGCGAGTGGCTATTCTCTACCTAGTATCAGTGGTGCGCAAGATGCTTTGGGTAGGCATTGTGGGAGGTGGGAAGGGGTCCCGGAATCGAAGGGATATTTTCCAACAATGGCACTGACGCAAGAGCTTAATATCAGCTAGCCATTAGAGATGGAGAAATAATCGCTATTTAACTTGCGATACAATACGCGTGCAATACTAGGATGCAGCACTCGTAAAACTTGTCTTGTCTATTTTTTTCCTATCTGACGCCGGCCATTTTAATTCATCCTTCGCGCATCATAGTCTCATCGTCGCCTGCTTTTGGAATGATCACCTGGAGTATACGGGACTGGCTCATAGCTCGGTTGCTTGATATGTTTACAGCAAATATTTTGATTGGCGCAAGGAATATGAAAGGAGTGAAGGCTCAAGGGACATATTCATACATTTGATTAGGAGATACACGTGGGGGAATACTAAAAAATCGAACGGCACCAGGTTCATGTCATCTTGACATGATATCACATGCACATACGAGGGATCAAATGGATGAGATGAATGGATGGTGAAAAACTTGCATCTATGTCTGGTCTAGGATGGAACGGGAAAAAAAACATATCGGATTTCGTTGACGGAGTTGGGTCTGTTCTCAGGTACCTTTTCTTTTGTGGGAATTTTGGTCATGGCATGATGGATGAATGGATGGGTAAATGGGTAACAAGGAACGGGACTAGCAACGGATTGGGATGGATGGGTATATGATCTTGCCAGTTGCGGATCCTGGTGTTTCTTACGTGCTTCGCTGATGGATTTCTCATCATGTTTTTTTGTTATTTCTTTTCTCATGTTGAGCTTGATGGGATTGAATTAGGCAAGGCTTATTGCTTGACCAGTTCTTTTACACCAGTTCAGACTCATAAGTTCCTCTTTGCTTGCATTTGATTATTTCTTCTATCTTGACTGCGTGTTAGTTGATGTTGTTGCGTGGAGGGCTTTAGTGTTGAGGAATGAAATTTGAGTTGTGGGCTGCTGTTGAATAGGCTTTTTCGTAGTTTGAGTTGTGTTTGTTGTTTTTGAGTGTGGGGATCGATGAGAAGAGTTGCGAACCTGAAGCGGTGGTAAATTGACAAATGGCTTGTGGGGATGAAAATTGCTAGTGAGCAGATGCGGATTTAGGAATCTTACAGAAAGATTTGGAAGGAGAAGTGGAAAAATATGTGCAGTGGAGTAGAAGTCGGGGACGTTTTATTCGAATTCTAGTTTGCCATGCCAGTCAGTTAGTCGATTAGTCAGTCAATGCAGGAGGCTTTTGTTGCGATACATAAGTGCGTGATGATTAATGATGAATGCTGAAATGATGAGACGTGAATAAGATGTTAGTAGTTTGACGTCGTTGATGAAGTGACGGAGTAGAGGGTATGAAAATGAATGGTAAGCCAGGCAGAATGCAAGATATGCACTCTCCATTAGCAAAAAGATTAACCATTGAAGTATTTAATTGCTTGAAGCAGAACTAGATTTTGAGAAGCACTTGAATTCCTCAATCAAAAACAAACATCAAAACAAGTCGTATTGCAATCTCAACAACTTTCCGCAAGTGGGAATTTTCGACCCAAATCTCGTGGTACCGTTAGACACAATTCGAACGAAGTTATCCTGTTTAGGCAGCTTCGAAACCTGAATGAAGCCAGCACTTCCTATTCCATTTTACTATTCAACCGCCGCTGCGCTCGTCCTCTTTCTTCTTTTCTTTTAGTCTCGTTACAAGCAAAACTTAACTTTCATCATTCCTTCTCCCACCCCTTTCGAATATTCGGGCCGTAGTATATCAACACGCTGTCTTTAGGTAAGATTTAGTTCCAGTAATAGACAGATGCTAAAAATTAAAAATCTAAATTCGTGTAATAAGGATAGTCATCTAGTAACTGATTGTTATCACACATTTGATATATTATGCATTGAACTTTTTTCTACTGTCTAGATGATTTTTTATGTATTATCACTGCTGTTTTCCTTGATCTGTCGTTATAGTAATAATACGTCGACTCGTGATATTTGCTAGTGCTGGGGTTAACTATCATTCCCGTTCCGGCTGCTATCAGCATTGTTCTATGATCGGGTTGTGCAGTTATATTCTTTTAAAGAGTATTTGCTCAGAGGTGTATATTTTATCCAGTATTGGAAATGGGCGGTTAGTGTAAATTTTCTAAATCATTGTAATCAACTTTCATCAATGATGCATTCTTTTTCTCTATTATCACCATCACCGTCATCATCATTGCATTCCCATCTACCCCAAAGCGAACAAGGAGCAATTTACAAACACAGCATGATTGAGGCACCAACTATAACCATATTAGAGATCAGATTTCGAAACCCTTGCCTTATTACAAGTTGATTGATCTGAAGATTATACTTGAGAAAGGTGGGTAGAGTAAAGAGAGCTATAAATACTAGACGCAACTGATCAGTGGATGATCCAATTGCTGCGAACATAGTAATTTTTCCTGATTGGGATCCTGAAAATGCTGGGATTTATGGTAATTTTTCTCTATATCACTGGTTAATTCTTCTGTAGACGGATCTTCTAGCTTTGTGTGGATTGCGGGAAAATCTTTCGGATGGAAAAGATACTTCCATTCCACTTTTCTGTTTCGTTTCTTTCCTGTTTCGTTTCTTTCCTGTTTCGTTTCTTTCCTTTCCTTTTGTTTCCTTCTTTCAGTGTACCTAGAGATATTTCATGTGGAAATCAACTTTTCCGGTGGTTGGAGACCCCAACCATAATAATGAATTTCGGAAAAATTGAGGCTTAAAGGTGCGTTGAATACTAGATGAACTCCTTCAAAGCTGGCTCAGCAGGTTTGTATGTATTCAGAACAGTAGAAACAATATCTGTACTTTTTTGAACTAATCCTCATCCACTCGAGATTTTTGTCTAGTAGAACCTTGAAAGACTGGAGCGAGCAAAGCTTGGAAATACCCATGTCCAGCTTCTTCTCTATATAATTTCATACTGCTTTCTTCAAAAATTCAAAAATTCAAAAGTAAAAAAATTAAGAATAATTAAGAATAATGATATTTAATAAAAATAAAGATTTTTTATTATATATATAAGATTTTAAATCTTTATTTTAATTTTATATAAATTATAATATTAATAATAACTTATTAATTTAATACTTTTGTAAAATAATATCTTGTCTGGAATTATATTAATAATCATTTCCACTGTATATATATCAATATATTAATAAAATCATAAAGGGCCGTGAATAAAAGTTTAATATCTATATCGTGTTCATTTATATACAAAGAAGGAATTAGATTAAATCGCTAGTCAGTACTTTATAGCTAATGGCCCATCTAAAAGCACAAGCCACAACCTAGAAACACATTTAACACTATCTTCACGAAATAATAGCTTTGCTCCTCCATGAACATTAAAACAAACCCCTCCAACATTGCTTTGGTGAGCATTCACAGTCGAAAAGTGTAAAAGCAAAACTGAACAGAGGGGGATTCGAACCCCCGCGGGCTAAGCCCATGAGAATGCTAGCTGATTTGATCAACTAAGCTATTAAGCTTGAGTCACACGCCATAACCACTCGGCCATCTGTCCTATCTTGTTGTTGATGAAGATCCGTACTTATTTATGGATATACATATACAAAGAGAAGCAGCGAAAATTTGCTGCATTATGTGGGGTGATGCAGGGGACGTGGTGTTGTGGTCGGATAAGCTGCGGCCTTCGGGATATTTCGTGACCTCTAGTTTACGAGGGCACAAGAAGCTTAAGAGACAGTGTGAAATTGTTACATGTTATTCAGAGGATGAGAGTTTATTCTTGGTGCTCATATTTCTTTGTTGTATGCGAAGAGCCAGAATACATTTCTTCATCTCTAACCACGCCCGAAGTTCCTAATCGCCTTGATTCCACCATTCTTCCAAACTCTCTGTCATTCTGATATCTCAAATCTAAGATCTTCCATTAGTACAATCATTGGTGACGTAACACAACTGCTTCTTTGATAATCCGACAAAATGCCTGGATCGGTCAATGTTTAGTTTTTCATGTAACGGCCCGTCCTATTCGTACACGTAAGGCTTTTCGCTCTAGCCGAGACAACGAAGCAATAAACTGCTGAGCACAGGCTAAGGCAAAGATCAAACGCGGGAGTACTGCGCTGTTCTGAATACTTGGGCAATTGTTGGTCCAAGTTTGAAGGCGCAAAGGGATATATGAAATTATATCGTGCTACTAGACTTACTGTGCTCGTGAAAATCATCATCGACGAATGGGCGAAGCATGGAAGTACAGTCTTCATTTGCGAGGAAAATACAATTAGAGCCTGGACAGGCTATAGCAAGGGAAAGGAGGATCGGAATGGGAAGGCAGAAAGGCAGGTGGTTCCAAGACGCATCGTGGAGTTGCTGGTGGATTATAGACTTACGACTATAGTGGTAGAGTCTCCCTAGTCGGCGATGAATTAACAGATATGCGAAGGAGGATTTCATAGGGTATATATAGTTATGAAATCCAAAAGGATTACATATCAAGATGTAAGACTTAACATTGCCGCCCTCTTCAAAGATTTTTTTGATGATCGAGTCTTTGGTAACTTCACAATTGCAAGACTTACGGCACCATATCAAGTATGTGCTCACAAAGAAAGAAGTGCCGCATGTAAATACAAATGGGTGGTCCACATGTCACTTCAGCTCAGAACAGATGTTAAGACGTTACAGGTAGCGATAGAAGAAATGATCGTGAACAGTAAAACACAAACAGACACTTAGGTAGTTCATCTCAGGTTTCCGGCCCACAATCGAGATTGTTAATTGTTCACTGATATTTGATCCTTGTGAACTAGTGCTTTTCACCTTCGCCAAATACATTTTTGGGAGGAGTCTCTTGCCTGCATCCTTGGCCCACAACCCCAATCAAATTCACTCGATTTCCCGGTTAGAAGGGGTACTTTTTGATGGTGTATCAAATCCGCAGTCACGATTCACGTGACAGATTTGAGGCACAACGAACCAAGCCCGGGCGTTGAAGTGCAGTATCTAAGGATCCCCACCGCCGTGGTGCAATACAAACTCAACAACTAAAGAGGGACAATTCTGGATTCGGCCCATTCCATGTTCTTGGGCCCGGACTAAGACAAGTAAAACTGTCAAAGAACCCTTCAATTGACTCCTTTTTGACAGCTGACACCAGAGACGAATCTTCCGACATCCTCTGCATACTCTGTCTCTCTCACTACTTCAGCCCAAACTTCTGACTGGGAACGGTATTCCCCCAAAAAGTGTATTTGGCAAAGGTGCAGAACCACAAGTCCACGAGAATCATATATCCGACCTTCAGTACGGGGAGCATTTGAAGGTTGGACGTGGTGGAGCAGGTTCCCCACAATCTATTTGACTCTCAGCACCAACGTTGCATGTAGAGCTCGTAGTGGAATGATCCTCAAGTAATTAATTTGCTACAGTCTAAGCCAAATCTCCCGGAAGCTCAGTAACCCACTACCTCGAAAGCTTGTCATGGTGTCGGAGATTTAAATGTGATTCTTGAGATGAGCCAAGCACTGGGACATTTTGCGTACAGCCGACCATCCTGCAAGTTTGGGATTTGCTCAATCGGACACTAAAAGTTCCACTGTCTTAAGAGTCCTCCTACTTTGGGTCCACAAAGGCATATGTTTTGTTAGTAAATTTTGGAATAATCCGGGAATTCGAAGTGATTCCTGAATTGATTGCATGCTCCATAGGTGCAGTATCATCTAACTGTGGCAAAGTTCCTGAAAAAGGCTGTAGATGGCAAGGACAATTAGACGGGCCATATTGCGTCAATAGAGTTTTATGTAGAGCGGTAGCTGTCGGACGACACTTTTGATCCACAGCCAGCATATCATGAAGAAGAGATGCTGTCCAAGAATCTCCCAACTCGGTGAACCATGGCTCTATCAGATGTGCCGTAGCATGATAAATATAGGCCATTCTATCGGGCTCGTCTGGTATCGGCTGGCTCCTGTACTCATGGAAGTCATCGATTCGTTCACCGTTAGCTACAGTGGCCATCTCGGCAAAAACGCAACCCAGGGAGTAGATATCCGCAGGTCGACCTCTTCGATCATCGGCGATAACCTCAGGAGCACTGTACATTTTCGTGATACCTACCAGAGGACCATCTGTTGAACTTGTAACACCGGCACTGAACTGGTGCGCGGATCCAAAATCGGTCAAGTAAATTTGATCCCCCTTGCAAATTATGTTGTTTGGCTTGATATCCTTGTGCCTTATATTCTGCGAGTGGACGTATGCTAGCGCAGAAGCAAGACAACATTGCCAGCCATTAAGCAATTTTATATCTTCCTCCGGGAAATCACTTTCGCTAACGCGTTCAAGAAAATGGCTTAGATCTTCATCACCAGCTGGAGATATGAGAATTCCGAATTGTCGAGGAGCTTTGGTTGTTTCATAAGTGCTGATGACTTGCACAATGTGCTGATGACTGAGACCTCGAAGAACAGCAACTTCTTGATGGATAAGAGGCAACAATTTTTTCCTTGAAAGATTAGGGAGGCGAATGATCTTCCGAGCGACTAAAGCTCCATCTTCACTATCATCAAGGCGAACCGCATCAACAATTCCAAGGGAGCCATACCCTAGTTGTCTGATGGTCTTCAATGGTACGTGTTTGTGGCTGGTATATTCTGTGTGGGTATATTCTATAGTGATATGCTCGGATGACTCAGATTTCATGGATCCCAAAAGCGTCTCCTGTCGGATATTGCAATTACCGGACGGCGTGTCAATAATGTAAGGTTCTAGTATTGAGTCTTCGGGCGATAATGCAGATATTGGAGGCAGGTGATATACATTTGAGGAGTCTGGATGCCGATTGTGCATAGGTGTTTCTGGAAGTACAGTCACACCGTTACTATAGATTATGTCCTCGCTGCGAATCGAGCTACGATAACCAAATCTGATTTGTCGGGCTGTGATACGGATGGGTTCACATATCGCCTTACAATCTTTGCAAGTGTAACCTTCATTTTGTATAATGACTCTTCTCAGGCACTTGTGACATCTCCACCAGTCTGCCTGAAGCCTAGAACCATTCAATTCTGACGGCTCAATGTTTGAGAGCTTCGACTCTAGCATGTTTATGTCCTCTTTGTGAAAGTCTCGGAGATGTTGCCTGTAATCTTGTTCTGAGCCTCTAAAATCGCAGCGGAGGAATCTTATCTTAGAGCCAGACATTATAGCAGACCCGGTCTGTGATTGACATGAAGGATAGTCACACAAATAGTATGATTCGCCATGAACTAGCTCATAATGGTGAACCAAAAGTTCTTGGGACGAAAATCCACTTTGGTGATCAGGACACGTCCTCATGTGACATGGGTAAGAGACTGTGAAATCATCCAAAAATCTCTTCAAAGCCGATTGGCTATCCACTGTATCAACGGAATCTTCAGTCAAGTTCTTTGGGCTAATAAATCCTTTTGAGGCGAGTTCTGAAGCTGTGCCAATCATGACGGAGTCATTGCTATCAATATTCCGCCGTTGCATTCCTTCGTGGTCGCCTGAGATAGCTCTACTGTCTTCGTCTGGCCAATTCATTACTGGTGTTAAAAAAGATTTAACACCATTCCTGTAATTGTCGTTTCTGATGAATTCCTTTGCTTCGTCAAATTGTGTCTGTTTTTCCATGAGCCACTTTTTAATCGTGTTAAACCTGGTTAAAAGCCCAAGATCGCCCATGAGTGAGCTGTATCCATCATGATAGGGTATGATACCCTCCATGATAATGTTCACTGTGACCCATTTCTCTAGAGCTAAATCTGGGCGCTCGAGATTGTCGAGAAACGTGTCCGCTTGCTTGATTGAGAATTCCGCCAGATGAAGCAACCCGAGTATGGAAGCACCCGAGGGAACATCAGGTTTGGCAGCTAGAAGGTCGTCTAAGTGACGATAAGGGCGTTTATACGTCTTCCACAGGATTTCATTCTGTTTGGAGGACCTCGTGGTAGCAGGCTCTGCATCTTTTCCATTATTTGCACCTTTCCCAAAATTAGTTCCATCATTGTCTTGCCCGGCTGACATTTTCCGTGGTGTCGTGGCTTGATGAGTGTTCAACACCTCATCTAGAAGGCTAAACTTGTTTAATACTACAAAGTCTGTGTCAATGGTTCGATGACCTTATCCGGCACAGTCTTTCATTCACGATGTCAATTGCGTTGAACCGGCGGCGCGAAGATGCAAGGAAGAGAATCTGGCACGGAATTTCTTGCTGGGTACACTTCATCTCATCGAAGTCTTTCTGGACCGAATGAACTCCTGTTTTTTGAGTACGCGCCTGCGTCAGCCTCGGTGCATGGATGTTGCAGGCGACTAAACCGCTTTGGAGACACTGCATTGTGATGCGTGTACGAGGCAGCACACAAAAGATATGGAACACAGACATTATCAATTTGGGTGTTTGAAGAATTGTAGTTCACTTGAGCTGGTGTTTAGAGAAAATTGACAGCATAGTCAAGTCAGGTAGTTGTGACAGTGTAGAGAAATAGATAACCCGAATGAAGGAACTGGGGGTAGATTTTAACTGCCAAGTGGTCGGTAAGATGTTGGAATAGGTAATAAATGTACCCCGATCTTGTCTCCTTCCATTCTGAAGTCATTCGTAAAGACTTATTTTTACGGACGAGGACAAGGTTTAATGAGCCAATGCAGATTTTGTCAATCAAGTGGCCCTCTAGAGCGCTTAGATGCCTCACAACGCTCCTCAAGTGTTTCAATCCGGATTTGATATTCAGAACTTCAATCTAGAACCAAATTCCACAGGAAAATAAAGATCGACTGTGATATATGTATGAGTTATGTATTTGAACTATTGACAAAATTCTGTTACATATCTTTCGGATTTATTGTTATTATCGGTGATTGTTTTCTTTTCCTTTCCTATGTTGAATAGTAAGTAGTGGGTAGGTACTTGTATATATGACTTAACTCATTGATTGGGTGTAGTGTGGCTGGTGTGGCTCGTGTGGCTCGTGATGGCGGGGTTAAATCAAAAAAAGTTGGCATCGTCATCCATCTGTGCACGAGAAAACATTTAGGCTAACTGATCAAAATCTGAATTGGAATATTTGAAAAGCAGTTTCCCACCTAAAAGACCATATGATTGCCAAGTTCCAAAATGTTAACACTGAAAAGGGTGTCGACTATCGAGTAAGCTCAAGGTTATGTGCGGAGGACGCAGAATAGAAACCTATCCACAGCCCAATCACCTCCTGCATGCCAATTATACATTCCGCATATGTGTAAAATGATATCCTCGATTAAATTTGCAACCTTGGAAAAGGTAAATCATGATTTCACCATCATCTCGCTATGCAATTTTGGGACAAGGCGTCAATTGTGTCAAATCCAACAAAGGAAGCTTCGGTTACGTCATACGTTGTAGACCTGGTGAACGGGAGATGCTCAACTCAAACTTGAACATGGAACATGGAACATGGAACATCGAACATCGAACATCGAACATCGAACATCGAACATCGAACATTCCTCCTCTGATAATAATAATCCATGAATGAATGTATCCATACATACATACCATGCCAGGATCAATTTCCGTCTTTTTATTTCTCATATTAAAATCACATCCTATTCTATGACTTCTCCATGTTCTGTCTGCTTTGGCTCTTGCAATAATCCAACAAGATCTTCCATTTCAATGATCATTGCTTCAAGTGAGCAATCAACAAAATCCTCATTTACATCACCATTGGTCTAACTGATCAACCATCTACCTTGACACGGCTCCGCCTTCTCCGTTCCCCAAATCATTCTCACATAATGAATACTCAAGATACTCAGGATATTCCAAATCTCAATGATCCTCGTGCTGTACCTACAGATCCCTATCGTGGACGCGCCCACCCGATTCACAACCTACCTATAAAAGTCGAAACTCATGCTGAAGATATACCTACCGAGAGTCATGCCCTTGCTGTGGCAGACCATGAAGAAAAAGGAGCAGCACAGCTAGATCATGGTAATACCGAGGTGCGAGATTTGGGTTGGAATGATCAGCCCGATGATGTTCCTGTTCCTTTGGTCGGAGGTCTGCCGAACGAACAATTATGGACTTTAGTACGACGATTCAATAAACAGATGTACCACGTGAAATCATTACCAGAGCCACCAATTGGAGGCTTGGACCTAAATATTGCCGACGAAGAGGAGTTCTCACCAGACAAGTTGAGGGCGAACATTGAGCGGCTATACATGACAGTGATAGTTGGGCTTGTTACCTTTTGGAAACATATTGCGAGGTTGAGATCATGGAGGGAAAGAAACCGCACAATTCTTTTCGCCACAGTTTACTTCCTAGCTTGGTTAATAGACTTCCTAGTGCCGACCGTTATTGGTTTCATGGTTGTACTTATAGCATGGCCACCGTCGCGAGAATACTGCTTTCCTCCAGCACCACCCGCACTCATCGATAGTACAACAGGGGGAATCAAGAAACCGACGGCAGGCGTCCTAGGCAATGATACCAGTTTGACGGGAGCCCCTGAGAAACATCAAGGAGAAGCAGTTGAACAAGAAGCTAGTAACTTCGTAAATAGCATTACCTCCATCGCAATCAGCAGTGCGGCGGGGAAGCATCCTCAGGGAGATCCAAACGGTGATGAAGCAGGAGCAAGTACCTTGGAGGATGCGTCGCCAGATCCAACAAATATGGCAGTAGGGGCCGCAGATGCAAAGAGCAGCAGTGAAGGAAATCAAATAAATACCCTGCACGATAAAACAAAGGAACCCATGAGGGCAGCGATGTGGTCGAAGACTAGGCCGGTAATGCATGCCATTGCTGACATTTCTGATGGATGGGAAAGATTCGCCAACGCTTTATCTCCAACACCACCATTTCCCCAGCAGAAACCTCGACTCAAGCTTGCCGGCTGTCTTGCCCCACTACTCCTCATCTCAATGTTTACTAGCTCGTATATGTTTATGAAGATGAATGGCTTGTTCGTTGGTCTGGGGTTCTTCGGGGACCCATTGATTTGGCGAGGACTTTCGTACTTGAACCGCGAATTCCCACATTGGCAGAGGTTATTGGAGATCAGGAATACCCTGCTTAAAGGTGTCCCTACAAATGCTCAACTCACAATTACATTATTGCGAATTGGTGAGGCAAACGAAGCTCCAATCCCGCCACCTCCATCTTCCTCCCTACCGCCATCTGATGTTGCGCACGCTACAGCAGGTGAGGACCTTGATCATCTTGGTAAGTAAATATTTCCTCATGAAAGTGAAAGGAATCGATTAACATTCTCAGAAGGCGTATCCGATGCAGAAATGGCCCATGCCATCCATCCTAACGTAGATGCGAACACAGCAAGTGTCGATCAGCCGAAGCCGAAGAAGAAAGGCCACCGTATCCTGGCTGCTTTTAAAAGTGTTACCAAAGGTGGTGTTGAAACTGTCTTGGGAACAGATAGATTGAAAGCTGCAGTAGGGGCAGAACATGCGAAAAATCGTCTCGGCGTTCTGAAAGATGGGCCGGATGACCCAGCTGGCCCTACACGGTTCCCCTGTAGATACAAGGGTAAGAAGGGTCATGCATATATCACCGCCACTACAACAACTCCAGCATTGAGCTGGACGACCGAGAGAGACGACATTGATCCTGTCTTCTCCATACCAATATCTGATATCATGGTGAGTTTTTAACATGCCTCAAGAGCCACCACCATAATCTAATACGGTAACAACAGGAGATAAAGAAGGTCGGCGGCCTAGGCTGGAAAACAAGGCTTGTCGTAGGATGGGCTACGTCGCGAGAAATTGCAGACGGACTTCTTGTAGTCGACAAAGCTGGTGATCAAAAGCTACTCACGGCTATTGCATTACGGGAAGAGCTCTTCAACCGCTTGATTTCGATAGGTCCGCAAATGTGGGAAGCATGGTAAATAGAGCGCTTCCCGAAACGGCGCCTAATGCAAAGGTTTTGAAGGCCTTGATGGATTGATGATCGGATCCAAGGATGGCCTACAATCTAGACTAGTAGATGGGATATGAAGTTTCAAAATTGAAAATTTGTAAAATAATTTAAATATTTGAAATGATTTTCAATGTTTTAGTTTGATCGGGATGGCTTTTCCCTTGTCGTGCAATTTGAACTAAGCGGGATCAGTGATTAATTATTATTGCTTTACGTTATAGCATATCACCACTTGTTCAACATGTTGGATGAAAGCCGCCGTGGTGTTTGCGGTAGAAGATAGAAATGGCAAGCCATAGGTTCACTGATCGCAAAAATTAGGAGCCAAGTGAGGCTTGGAGGATCCTCGGCAGGCGTTAGTAAGGTTTGGTCAAGAACACGGGAATGGAGATTGTATGGATGAGAATGAAAATATTTATATATTTATATATTCTTGGTGGGGGTAAGCATTTTAATTGGTTCACGGGCCTTGTTGATATGGGTTTTAAGTTTATATAAGATTTGAGGTATTAAATATCAAGTATTAGATATTAAGTATTAAATATCAAATATTAAATATTAAATATTAAGTATTAAGTATAGAGTATAGTATTAATGAATAAGATAGGGTTTTTTGAAAGCTTTGGCCGAATGTCACTAAATAATTATTTTGTGGTCTTCAGGGTTTTTACTCTCTGGGAGAATTCTTGTTCTTTGCGATCCAACCGACCACAACATTTCTTAAAATCAACGTCCTCTACTCCGTACACAATGATGTATCCAATTATAGCAAATATCGTTATGGCAGCTTGTTATAGCTTGGTATCGCTTAGTATCGCTTGGTACATATAGCTTCCAAGCTCGCATTGCAGACTCAGATTGGATGAACTCTTCTACAACTGTTTTCAGAATTGGCCCTGTTGAGGTTACTGAATGAAGGGAAGACAACAAAGACAAAGTCAAGCGTCTGGGTCCGTTCCTGGTTTTCTTTGATCGCATGTGAATTGATTTGATATCTTGAGTGAATCTAAGGTAGGTAGGCAGGTAGGTGTTCTGCGTCATGGTCAATCATTTCGTTACATGATTCATATATCGCTTTTCGAAAAGAATTGTTTTAATGCTTGATTGCTCATAATATTCCTAATTATTTCAATGATTATTATTATTATTATTATTGCTATTGCTATTGCTATTGCTATTCTACATAAAGATAAGTTAAAGGAACTCATTCATTTAGTAACCCTTTCCATACTTTATCTTTATTTCATCAACAACTATTGCACAGCACAAATCTACGCTACTACTACTACTACTACTACTACTACTACTACTACTACTACTCAATATGCAGCTACTAGCTACCATCCCCATGGCTTGTTCCATCATAACATTCGTGCTCGGCACGTTGTGTATCTTCGCGGGCAATAAGCCTGGATTCATGGAGGATTATCATATCATAGCAGTATGTGCATCAATCCCATTTCCAGGTGACAACTCTGATCATATACGCTCCAGCTCAATACTTCGGGAATCGGACAAGATCTCATCCCCACACTGTCCGCCAGTTCTGGTTCCACACCGACCTCGATATCACCAGGAGGAATTGTCAGTAGTATCAGCAATTTGATACCTCGCGAGCCTGGTATTGGTGACGACATTGCAAATGCACTCGGCGATATCGGGAACGAGATTGCGGATAAACTTGCAGAAAAATTAGGTATCCAAGAATGGTATTCGATGCATCTAATGGATATGTGCGAGGGATCATATACACCAAATGCCACGGCCAAAGGAGCAGGATATAACGTGAGCTCTTGCACAAATCAAACTGCCATGTGTAAGTAATATCTCTCCTCATACTGTTTTCTTGCTTAAATTAATCATGTCTCCACGCAGACCACTTCAATATCAGTTCCATAATTTCCGATCAACTATCTATTGGTCCCCTCCATCTAAATCTTGGTGACATAGGCTGGCCTTCAGCCATCCAAGACGGCCTCGATACACTCTCCACAGCCATGAATGCCACATTTGTATTCTATTGCATCGGCATTGCAGCCGCTGGCCTCGCAATCTTCACTTCACTGGCCGCAATATTTATCACTGGTCGTCTCTTCTCTTTCTTGAACTGGGGTTTAGCATCCCTATCTCTCCTAACTCTTGCTATTGCCTCAATCATCGTCACTGTTCTCCAAGACAAAGCTGCGGATATTATCAATAAATTTGGAAATGATATTGGGGTGTATGCGCATAAAGGACATAAATACCTTACCCTGACATGGGTTGCTACAGCGATTATTGCTGTTGCGACGATCGTATGGGTGGCAATTTTCTGCGTTGGACGTAAACAGAACGGACGTGAATTCCATGAGAAGAATCTCTTTGGGAGGAAGTCGAGACAAAGTGAGAGTGTCGAAGTTGCGAGGTAAGGGTGTTGGAAACCTTTTTTCTTGCTTGGCTCGGGAAAAATGTTTATCTGGATGGAAGGAGGGAGATGATGGTTTATGATCGGAAATACGCTGATATACGACATTCTTTTGTATTTTTTTCTATTTACGTACGTCTTAATGGGAATAATGAGTGAGGGAACAGGAGAGATGGATATTAGGGAGGTAGATGGTTTTGATAAAGAAGATCACTGGTGATTTTCTTTTTGAGTAATGATTGTATTGTAAAAGTGGTAGGTCGAGATACGTGCGTTCCGATAGCATGCTGTGAGGGGGGGATTGGAAGAGAATGTTGAATTAGATTACATTTTAATATGTTACTTATAAAGAAAATGGGGTTCATAATAGTTTTAGGGTTGATATTATATAGATTCAAATATATATATATAGAAGATTGATTATTGTAAAAAGAAGAAGCAAAAACTCTTTTTTTATATCTAATTACAAGAGGTTATATGATTGATTGGTTAAAAACCTCTATGTATTTGGCTTATAATCCCAAATTTCTCATAGTATGATAACGAGATACGCAGAGGATAGAATAATCGACGAAGCACTGCGAAACATATATGCTTCATCATGGATTGAGTGAGTCTAAAAGAAAGAATACTTGGGTCCTGTCTCACTAACATAAAGAAGGAGCTTTCAGCAGCTGATGGATATACTACATACCGTGAGCTACACACGTGGGCAAAATCACACACATGAAAATACAGTACTAGATATAAAATAAGGGCCGGGTCCGCTTTTTCTTGAATTCCTAGTATTCACCCGATGGGTTTAAATGAGAATATAAATTTTATTTCTTCTTTTTAAAATCTTCAAATTTGAGTATATTATTATCTTGTTATTTTTAAAAATATTTTTATATATTTTATTAATATCTTTTATTTTAATATTTTATATATTATTTTTATATATATAAATATACTTTTTATTAAAATATTGAATAGATTATTATTTAAAATATCTTATATAGTTTTCAAATACTTTTTTAATTTCTTTAAATTCTCTTTTTTATAATTTATAAATTTTATAAAAACTAAATATAATTTTATTATCTTTATTGTTAACTTGTCGACTTTATAATCTTGTTGTATGAAAATGAGGTTCGCTTAAGTTTACGATATGATTGATCGAGAAATGAGTCGCGTTTCTGACAATCTGATTGGTCTAAAGTACCCTGTAAAAAATCTAACAAAAAGCTTGGTATAAGCCTTATAATCTTAAACAAATCTGACTTAGAGCTTTTTTCAATTCAACTCTATTGAATCATTCAACTCGACTTTATTAAAATCATTCAATTCAACTTTACTCATTCAATTCAACTCTACTCATTCAATTCAACTCTATTCATTCAATTCATCTTATTCAACTTATTATTATAATAATAATAATAATAATAATAATAATAATAATAATAATAATAATAATAATAATAATAATAATAATAATAATAATAATAAGAATATTTAAAATAATAATATTAATGTTTAAAATAAAAATATTTAAAATAATAATATTAAATTTTTAATTATCAAAAACAAGTCGATATTCTGTCTTCATTTTAATATATATATTTAATATTTAAATTTATTATAAACTTTTTAAAACTTAAATTTTTACTAGACTTTCTCGAAAAGCCAGGGGTCCGGGGGGCGCAAGTGTCACGATTCACGGTTTAGATTATAGTAGTATTATTGATGTCGGTGATTTAGATGCCGATTACCGGGGGGGTGTAATTTAACTGTTGTTTTCAAAGGGCTTAAACGTTTACAAATAGGAACTTAGGATTCCTAGGATAAGTATCCTAGACAATCATATTAGAATAGAATAAATATCCTAGCTAACCGATTGTAATAGAACAATTACTTTAAAGAATATTATATTTTAAAACAAAGATTTCTAAAAGAAAGTTTTTGGGACAAATGTTCCAGGAAAGGAAAAGCTTTAAGATTAATCATATAATGAGAAATCCTAAGAGTTTGAAAAGTTCTTAAAATTCTAGGAGCTTTTTGAAGTTTTTAAGTTTTACAAATCTTCTTTTTATTTATTAGTATATAATTAGAATAATTTTATAATTTAAAAACTTTATATTTAATTTAATTATTAATTAATTTATTTAGATTCTATTTGATTTAATAACGAATTCATTTTCAAATAAATAATCTGTGATTAATAGCCTTAATCTATAACTATCAACTATACAAACCTCAGGCAGTGTCACGATTTACGATTAAGATAAGGATATGTTGAGGGGCAGCAGTCAACGTATCCATATGAGCTTAGGCCTTATCGAAAAGCAAGGCGATTCGTATACAAATTTGTATGGTAATCGCCTTATGTGGTCTCCTTACCTTTAGCAAGCTCGGACATATAGTCTGATCCTAATCACGTGATAAGGAGCCCTGGGAGCTTCGAAAGCTCCTAAAGCTCCTTTATATTCATTAGTATATAGTCAGAATAGTTTCATAGTTTAAAAGCTTCGTGCTCAATTTAGTTATCAATTAGTTTACCTATATTCCAATTGATCTAGTAACGTATTCACCTTCGAGTGGATAACCAGTGATTATTAGCCTTAACCTACAACTACCAACCATACGAAAACCTGAGGCAGCCGCTGCCTCGACCAGATCGTTACAGGCAGCCGCCGCCTCGACCAGATCGTTACAGCAAGCCCCTGGTAATAAATCTATTATATAAAATTTTATTATTAGTTTTGTTTTATAAAATATAAACTTCTTTCTTTATATAATACTTTCTTAATTTGAAGTTATTCAGAGTTGTAATTGTTAAATAATTAAATTTTGAAAATATTATATTGAAGAAAGAATCATATCAAAAATATAAATTAATATAGTTTATCGAGTGAACTATATCATCGAGTGGGTTACTTTTCTCTTAATTTATATCTTTAACTTCTATACACAATTTATCAATCAATTATTATAGAATCAATTAATCAAAAAGTCCGAATCTTTCTTGTTATCGAAGTTATTCATAAAGATAAAAAATTAAGTATTCAAAAAGCTTTTAAGTTTTATAATATCCTTTGTATGATTCTTTAATATAGAATAAATGATTTATTATTTTATATAGAAATTCGAGCGAATCGTTATAATATTACAAAATTGGAAAAGGAAATGATTATTCAATATATTCTTGATATAGATTCGAAAGGTTTTTTATTTAAATTTAAAAATGTGAAAGATATAACGAATTATATTCTTGAATTAAAAAATACAAAGTATATTAGGAAGTTTTGAATGTATCGATTTATAAAGTATCGAATTGAATTAAAGATATATTTTAATTATATTTATAATTTTCAAAGAGTTTTTTGTGAAGATTTTAAGTTTATTGAAGAATAATTTCGATTAATTATAAATATATAAGCGAAATATAGTATTTTGGATAATGATTTTTATAATTTTAATAAAATAAGCTTTATGATAGATATTATAAGTATAACAATAGTTGTTATTAATATCAAAAGATATAGTAGAAGTAAATCAATATAATTAGATAATCGAGAGTAGATTATAATAATTATATATAATAATGAAGAAGATAAAACTATTTATTTATTTTTAATAATTCAAAGATAGATTTATCTTTTCAATTGGTATATTGAAATCAATCTTTTTGTAAAATGGATTATTAAATCTATATTTAATAGATGAATAAATAATGAGATAAGATTAGAATAATTAAAGTATTTCGATAAATATATAATTTATCGAAGAAAAAGTAAATATCAAATACTAGTATTGAATGAATATGAAAATTATGAATTAATAGTTTTTCAATTATATTGTAAAGTAAATGATATTATATATTTATATTTATTATTATATTCAAATTATTTAATTTAGTTATTTGATATTAATTATTTTAATAATCTGAAATATTTATATAGTAATCAAATTGATAAGTTTATCAAAGTATATATCAATTATATTTCAAAAATTGAATTCTTTATAGTTTTTAAAATTGTATATAAAGAATTAATCATCTTTTAGAATATAAAATCAGGGTTTCGAGGAATAGATTTAATACTATTTAATCTTGAAGTTATATTTTCGAAATTAGATATTCGAATTTGTATATCTATTGTAACGATCTGGTTGGGGCAGCGGCTGCCTCAGGGTTTCGTCTGGTTGGTAGTTGTGGGTTAAGGCAAATAATCACTGGTTATCCACTCGAAGGTGAATACGTTACTAGATCAATTGGAATGTAGGTAAACTAATTGATAACTAAGTTGAGCACGAAGCTCCTAAACTATGAAACTATTCTGACTATATACTAATCTCTTTTCTTATGCTAGCTATGCTAGCTGGCTAGCACAGCTAGCATTCCTGTGATGCTAGCTCTGCTAGCTGGCTAGCAGAGCTAGCACATCACGTGATTGATCCTGAGGCTTCTCATATCCCAAAGCCTTTCCTTTCCTGGAACACTTGTCCCAGGAGCTTCCCCTCTAGGAACCATAGCCCTAGGATACGATATCCTCTAGGATGATAGTCCTATTACAACCAATTAGATAAGACACTTGTCCTATTCTACTATGGTTGCCTAGGATACTTATCCTAGGAATCCCGGGGTCCTAGGCTTAGGTAATCAGGACCCCCGAAAGCAACGGTTAAATCACACCCCCCCTGTAGTCGGCCTATAAATCACCGACGTCAATAATACTACTATAAAGAAAATCGTGAATCGTGACATCTATCTTCTCTTTTTTCAATCTAGATTAATAGATTTCTTAAACTTTTTGTAATCTAATTGAAGTTTTTTCTCAATCAATTTTAATAAAATTTTGAATAATCTATTATCAATCAAATTTCTTTATATCTATATTCGAAATTATATTAGTTTTAATTAAAAATACAAAAAGATTAGTTTATGAAAATATACTTTTGATTATAAAGATTTGTATACTTCGAAAAGTAAATAAAGTATTAAACAAATATCGATATATAAAAAAAATCCAATTATATTAAGAAGGAATACTTATTAGATAAGAAACTTTTGATATATTATTTTAATAAGAAATTGATATTCAGATTCAATATAACAAATATCAAAAAAGGAGAAATTCTAATAAGGAAGTATCTTCTAATAAATATTATAATAAATAGAGAAAATCAAATTATAATTCAAGAACTTATCAAAACAATATAATAGATCCTAGATTATTAGATTCTTAATAGTTTTAATTAATTGATTTAATGATTGTTGAATAATATAGATTTGAAGATATGAATTGAGGGAAAAATGGCCCACTCGATGATATGGCCTACTCGATGATAAACCACGTTATATGTTTCGGTCTTTATTTTTTGTAGATCATTGTAAGCAGACGTTTAGGGTCGGTTATCCAGTAGTAGTGTTGAGACATTCTAATCTTTAGAACTTTGATTTCCTGGTTCATGGTAAATAAGTTACAGCTTGGAGAGTAGTTATCCTGGTTATCGTTTGATGAAGGCTGGACTTTTCAATATTTTTTGTTTTCAATCGTTTCAGAGAGGCTTAAAGAAAAGAATGTAATTTTACAGGCAAAAGTCCTCTCCATTAATTAGCCAATGATTTTCTCAATGTATAAAATGATTTTTGGGTATTTCACGGAAGAACTTAGAGATTGCAGTGTCCCTATGTTTTCCGGCCATCATTGAATTAGTCTCGTGGTCAGAATGGATGTGTTGCCGGGTGTTGGTAAGAAGAAAAGAAAAGAAATCTCAAAAGTTGGACTCGGACACATAGATATAGTTCCTTAGATCCTAAATAGATATCTAAGGCTTTTGACCTTCCATTCAAGGGCTTCACAATCCGTCTCCCCATCTACATGCTTCTCGCCCTGCTTTCTTTCTTCTCTCCGTTTTTTTTTTCCTTCGTTGCCTTATCCCTCACTTCCTGATGCCATTTGCTTCGCATCATCCATTTCTCTTTGTTCCTTAAGAAATCCAATACTTGTTCATCTACACAACTATTCCGGGCCACTTCTTCGAGATACCTCTTCTGGTACGAACCAACGATGAGTTTGCATGATCTCTACCACATGCTTGAAAATTTACTCTAAAACACCGATAAGCTTAAGGTTCCAGGACCTAAAGCACCAGCATTATACAGCGACTCGGTGCATTCCAGGGGAGATTTTCATATCAATGATATAATTTGTGTGGTAGAACATTACTCCAACTCTGACCAAACACCTTCAGAACGAAATGACAGGAATGGAACCGACACAGCCTTTCGGACCAGTATATTCATAACAAAGCAAACACATCGTGCTCCAGAAGCGCCATGAATATTGCATAGCACTTTCTATATCTATTTACATTCAATGGCTATGGACTCGATAACAAACACTCAATGTCTCGCGAATTCTATCTTGGCGTTCGTGATTCTACCTCACGGAACAATCTATATCCATCAGGAAGACCAACACGTGCTCTTATTCAGCGTGAGAAACGAAGAAATAATAGAGCGGCCTGGTGGGCTGAGAGTAAAGCGCTTTCACATCATGCATTCTGGATTCAACTTACACCTAATCTACCCAGTCCGCCACAGTTACGAATCACCATGTATCCGAGAGAAGAGGTTGACAGAAGATGGCCGCTCCAATCATATTCACGCATATGTTGACCATGGCCAATTTCACACGTTGGGACTGTCACCATCGAAGTAATCGCCTGCCTCCATTACCGAGCCCAGAGCTAAGACGTGCGCAACTGGCCCGACGTGGAGGCTCACAGGATGGTTTTGGTGATGAATTCATGATTTTTATTTGTACTGTAAAATGGATGTTGAGCCACGAGGCAAACATGTAAGTTTACAGGTACTAATCAGTAACTAATAAAGCTGGATAACCAATGATGGCTTAGACATTTTGTCATTTATATTATATATTCCATTCCATGTATTGAAAGTTCCTTTCATGCCTCCCACAAGGTGTCCAATAATCCAGACTGGCAGACTAGATTTGGGATTTTAATGATCGAAATTCTTTGAATATTTGAATTTTCTAAGTATACATAATACTCAAAAAATGAAAAATATTCAGTTATAATTTATTTTTTTAATCAATCCAAACCCCCCAAATGAATACAGAAATCTAAAAGCTCATCATTGCTGGACTTCAGTCCGAGCTACTGAATACCCCGGTGTCCAACGCTGCCTTGCGTACGAGAGGACGCCAACCAAGCAAAGGACATACGCCCATATGTACTCAATATCTACAATCCGCCTTTACACAATCATCCCCCGCTTCCCAGCAATATGTATGGCCCATTACAAAAAAATAGGTTTCGTTAAAACACCCGTTTACATCATGCCATCCTTGGTCGATCTCTTTCTGGGTGATGCATGGGCGGGTCTTCGGGTAGGGACAAGGCCGTGGTGTGGCCTTCTGCCTCGCCTTCCATGGCTTGCCGAATGTGCGTTTAGCGTTCGAGCGGGACGGGGCTGGGGAGGGAGGGGAAGAGTGGAGGACGACAAATGGTGGGTTGATTCTGAACTTGGTGATATTGAAGGGGACCGAATGTTCCTCCTTGGTTGTGGTTGTGGCGGAGACCCGAGGAACGTCATTGGAATTCGCTGGGATCACCATTGCTGTAGCTAGGCCGAAAAAGGCGGCCAGAACGAGAAGGTAATTCTTTGGTGGCTTCATATTGTTGTTGGAAGCGGAAGCGGAAGCGCAATTGTATGTTTTGTGGATTGTACGGATTGCGTCATCATTTGACTGTGATCTGTATGATGAAAAGGAAATTAGAATCTAGGAATTCCAGGAATTATGTACGAAATTTATATGAGATAGAATAAGCTATTCTCTGCACTTTTCCTTTTCTAGTCTCTGCACCCATGAATTGTCCAGACAACTACCAAAGACCCAGAATTCGCATACGTTGTTAGGCTCAATATGGCAAACACGATCGCTGGTCTACATAGTCACGAATTTTAGCACCAATAATATGACAATCCCCTTCACAACTACAATAATAATTCTTGCAACTTCTGGAAAGTGCTGGGTAAGAGAGTTGGATAAAGGTTGCACTAGACTCGCTTGAATCATTTAGGGGCGTCTTAGTGACAGCCGTTGAACTTTAGCTTGAGGCTATCGAGTCAGACTCAAAGGCCGCGCCTAAAATATTCCATGTACAAGGTGTCATGATCATAGCTGCAGGAATTTTAACCATGGCCATAGGTAGTTTGAATTTCATTCCTTAAGCACAGTCTCGTGATCAATGTGCTTTGAAGATAGATATACTCGAAGATTTACGACCATGATGACGGGACGCTTGTAAGATTGCTCCAACCGGGAATGTCATCGAAGCATGAAAAATCAAATATGACCGTGTCTGAGTTGATGAGATGAGAATAATAAACAAGAAAGCCTGGCTTTCTAAATTTCGTGCATTTCTGGGGACACACTTCTACTTCCCAGGTGGATCACAGTCCTTCTTTCAAGGGATAACATATCCCCCTCATATTGTAAAAGTGGTAGGTCGAGATACGTGCGTCCCGATAGCATACTGTAAAGAGGGAATTGGAAGAAAAAGTCAAATTAGATTATATTATAACATATCATTTATAAAGAAAACAGGATTTACAATGGTTTTGGGATTGATACTATATAGATTCAAATATATATATATAAAAAATTGATTATTATAAAAAGAAAAGATAAAAACTCTTTTTTTATATCTAATTATAAAAGGTTATATAATTGACTAATTAAAAACCTCTATATATTTGGCTTATAATTCCAACTTTCTCACAATATAGGAGCAACGCAAAAGACTACCTACGAATTCGGCCACAAGGGTCCAATAATCTGAACCGCAATGGGGAAAGTAAACACGTTTGATGCTATTTCAAATATATTCAGCCCGTTCTAGACATTCTGAATTACCAATCCATTTCAAACTACCTTCAATATCCAACTCAATCCAAAGTATCCCAGCTACCCAATCTATTCTGTAAGATCAAACATCCAAATGTTTGATTACCGCAGAATCATTTTTAACATATAATCCCCTACTTGATCCAGACTCCTCCAAATATCCCAAACATCATTCACATCCAAAGAAATTTCGCCAGTTCAATTCAACTCGGCCATGCAAAAACCATATATTCCTTTGGACCAGTCCCAAACACCTTCAGCTCTAGTCCACCTGCTCCTGCACTTGCCCAAGCGATGAGCATAGCGATTTCTTCTTCTTTACTTCTTATTAAAAATAACATCCTGCCCATCATTTACTCATTCAGGGTGACGATTGTCATCTTGGCCGAGAATTAAGCAGTATCTCACATTTCGTTTTTGATAAACAGATGATTCGCCTATATTTTATGCTCCGGTGATATGTATCTGAAATTTTTGGTCATTTATTAGGCGTGAATTGTTATCGTTTTTGACTTCCTCATTATTACAACTAGAATCACCCGTATTCTAACATTCCCTCACCACCTCCTCACGTCAAAACCCGCCATTTTGCTCCTCTTCCTCTCAAAACTCTGCTTCACCCATTCATAAGACAGTTATTCCACCATATATTCCACATAAAGGCACCTACGCGACCATCACAGTGTCTTTCGTCTAGCAAAATTGCCATTTCAGACATTTCATATGCCAATACTTTACATTTATCAACTAACATTCCCCGTGTTAACTCCTATTTCAGCCTCTTCATCATCATCATTGCCATCATTGCTGCCTTCATCATAGCTTACAGAGAAATTAACATGGGGAAAATGCCAGTAAACTTAAGAAAGATCTTGCCAGACGTATATTAATTATATGCATTATACCTGGATAAGCTCTAGCTATCGACAAGAAATGAAATGCCTTGTTTTCCTTCTTTCGCAATCTGCCATTTACCATCTACCATCAACTCCATCTTGATATGAAATCGTTATGAGATCCCTCACCTATTCTCCCTCTTAACTCCCCTCTCCTTTTCTCCTTTCTTACCCTGTCCTAAATACCAAATTCGGAGTTCAAGTTGGACCCAATATACACACCAATCAACTTTTTAAAATAAAATCCCTCCCCTTTCTATCTGTGGTATCTATTGATCTGGGGTATCTTTCAAAAATATACAGATCTTCTCGTAGGCTTCTAGTTGTTCCATTCCGTCCCAGACACATTCGCCATCGCCTCCTCCAGTCCATGCATCATATACATCCAACAACAAGAAAATAGCTCCAGTACGCCCCTAGCTGCAATGCCCACCAAATCAACGTCTCAAATTCAACTGAAAAATTTGGCAGTATGAAATTCTGTTAATAAAACGAGTAAAAGAGAATCTATACAATTTCCTCTTCCAACCCAATCATATACCGCTTAATACAGTCTACCCCCCTATCCATTATTTCATTCTATGCCACCATTCAGCATTATCGCTCACGCTCCCTACAAGACCCATGGCAATGCGGCACCAAGTACAACAGCCAGCAAACCTGATCCCGAAACCCCCATACTCTTCCCCGCAGCAGCCGTCACCGTAGCCTTAATAGCCGAAGCCGAAGCGGAAGTGGTAGCTGGTGAACTCGCGGTTCCTTTCGAAACAGTTCCCGAAGCGATAGGCATCGGCTGTGTAGAAGTATCAATCAGTAAGGAGGTTGAAAGTACGAGTGACGCAGGTGAAGATGCAGCCAAAGCACTTGTAACAGTAGCAGGGGTCGGTGAAACAGTTGTAAGACGGCTAGATAGAAACGATGATGGCGTAAACCAACCAGTGGAGTTGGTATATATAGAGGTGTTGCAAGATACAGTTGTGCTGTGGAGGATTTTGATGGTGGTAGTTGTGTCGAAAATAGGTGCAGATGTTGTGAGAGCAGGGGAAGCAGATGTCAATTCAGAAAAAGGTTGTGCAGAAGATGAGATGATTGCTGTGGAAGATCGTACCTCTTCTGAGGACGTAGGAGAAGGCTGTGCGTTAAAGGATGGAACTTCCGGGGAAGGAAGTATCGTAGGAGAAGAGGATTGTATCTCTTCTGAGGGCGTGGGAGAAGGCTGTGTGGTAAAGGATGAAACTTCGGGGGAAGGGAGTACCGTAGAAGAAGAGCTAGTCATGGACGGAACCGTGGCACTTTCGATGGAGGTATACGTTACGGCGACGTCTGATGACGAATAAGTGCTTGCAGCGCTGCTAGCGCTGGCAGTGGTAGACTCACTGCTGGAACTTGAAACGGGGGATGTGCTGGTAGTGCTTGTAATGGCTGATGATGTCGAAGAAGATGCTGATTGGACAAGTGCTTCGCCTTTGACCGCTGGCGGCGAAGCGGAAGAGATCAATAATCCTTGAATAACCTCAAGAGCAGTCATTTGTTGTCCGGGACCAACTACTCCATCAAATGACCCTGTATACCATTTTGTACCACAAGCATTCGCATCCCCAGTACAAATGCCTGCTGCTGCTGATGCTGATTTTGTAAGATATGTCGTGATTGTGTTCTTGGTGAAAGGTGCCATTTGAGTCGTTGCCCACATGAAGCGTGAGAGATAGGCTTTGAATGAATATTGATCATTGTTGCAGGTGTTGACTGTCTCGCACGCCAGTTCGTACATGATACTTTCCGATGTGAAGAAGTGACTAGAGGCCTGTAATAAGCTTTGAGTTCGTGATTGCCATGTAGAGTCAGTGGTGTAATTATACATGACGGCGGCTCCATACAAGTAAATAGCATTGTTGTAGCTCCATGTGATTTCATTCGGATTGGTGCAACCTGTGGATTCATCAGCACCGTCGAAAGTATTGAAGTCTGAATCAATAAATCCGATCTTGGTAGTCCAATCGAAAACCTTTTCTGCCCAATCGGCGTATGTTTGATTTCCGGTATATCGTGCAAGGCGTGCAGAAAGTTGAAAAAAGGCTCCATTAGAAACGGAGTTCTTGTAGGTATAACCATTGTTGAATGAGAATATTTGCCACTTTAATCCACCGCCACATGCCGACGTGTCCCAACGGGCAGCTTGGGTGTTCCAAAGGTTTTCGGTCAATTGTACCCAAGTAAATCCACCGGTGTTGGAAGGTTCCGGGAAATTCTTTTCTGCGGCAGACATGGTAGACATTCCCCAAAAGGCTTGATCATCATTTCCTTCATCCTTTTGGTGATTTGGCATCATGTAATCAAAGAGTGGACCAACTTGAGATGCCAAGGCTTGTGTGGTAACATCATTATATGAAGAATCCCCGGTGTAGTGGTAATAGTCGAGCATGGTTCCCCACATTGCTCCGGCCTCCCACCAGTAATAGGGTGATGGCAGGACGGCGATAGTTTCTGGCGTGTTGGTGACATTGCCAGTATAATACTTCATAAGACCATATGCAATTGTGCCTGCTGCATTTTTGATTGAAGCTATGGAAGAGATTATCAGCAAAATTGTAAAGTCAAGGACGCGTGACAACACATACTTGGATCTGAAGTATCAAGTGTAAGGCCGGATACGGATTGAGAGACAGAAAGCGCGAGGACAACGCTTGCCAATAATCTTCCAGAAATCATATTGTTGTCGTTGTTGTTGATTATGAATTAAAAACGATAGATGGATGATAATTTGTTGAAATGGAAGGGGGAGGGTGTGTAGAAGAATAATATCAATCCGTCGAAAAAGCTAGAGAAGAAGAATATGCAGCGTATTAATTCTGGGGAGTGTATGATGACGAGATTGGAACGAATCTGCTAGTAGTTCCAAAATACGGCTGGTGCTTGCGATGCCAAAGAATGAATCATGCAGGCCAAAAGAAGAAGCAAATGAGCGGATGGATGTGAATGTTTTTTATTATTTTTGGGGGTTTGAAGATGAGAATGAGAGAGTTGACAAAAAAAGACGGAAAGAAATATTCAGTTCAGTTTGTCGTCGAGGGGGTTCATTCGATCTTTCCAAATTAGGAAATTGGAGGAAAGAGGAAAGAGGAAAGAGGAGATCTGGGGACCGGGGGCGGCTGTTTCATGTACCTGAGTGGGTGGCTGAGTGGGTGGGTGAGTGGGTACCTTTTAAAGTTTTCAGGAACCTTACAGCTTTTCAAGGAGTGAGTGATGTTTGGAGTAGATTGAGCGTATAACTGCATCCAATGAAAACTTCCAAGCGTTTCGAAGCCAAGAAAATCTGACACGAAGCGAATACAAATTGAGATGAACGTTTGTTACGACGATAATATTGGTCGGAAGTTTATTAAGGGACAGATGAGTGAAGACGACTTAAATTGCAAGGAAGCAAATCAATGAGATGAAGTCAAATTGAAGCGAGTGAAGATGAGTGAAGTGAAGTTAAATAAAATGCCTAACATAAGAACACTAAAAACAAAATCTAAGGAGGAGGAAAGGAAAAGAAGTGAATGAGGTGAGAGAATGGAATTGGAGAGAGGTTGGATGATAGGTCATCAAATACTTTTTGGCCCGGGTGTTCTCAGCACAGCCTTCAGTTATATTTATATTATATTTGCTGACTGTATAATATTCCTTTGTTTGCTGTGAAGGAAGGTAGGTAGGATTGCAAAATGATAACAATCACCACTTATTCGTATTTAGCTATCCCATGTGCCTAGGTGGTTTCATCCAACAGAGCCTGGGTAGTGTAGATGTAGATGGGTAGATGGGTACATGAGTACATGAGTACATGAGTAGATGGGTAGCTACTACCTAGAGTGGTCCGTCTATATTTATGGATGAGAGATTAAATGTCGCTTTGCTAAGTCTGTCAATTCCCTTTTGAAAAATGTTAGTTTTGATCATAGAAAGCGTACTCGATGCTCGATACTCAATACTCGTAGGATGGAATGAGACGGGATGATGAGATTGAGGTTACATTGCACAAAACCCAGTGAACCCAGGCTGGATACTGCACCGGACTGAGTGCCTGTGATTGCCACATCTTATGCAATCCAGGATATCTAGATATCTCAGCAATCATAATTCATGATTCATAATCCATTTTTCAACCAATGCTCCGTCCTCTCGATAAGGTTTTGAATCTAAATAAGTCAAGGCGAAGCTTGAATCCGGGGAAGGTGCCGATGTCTATGCCTACCTACGCCTATGCATACGCCTTGCCTATGCGCTTGGACTGACGTACGCCGGGAGATCATCAATGTAAGTGTGTTTTCAATCCAAATAACGAACCAGGTAGGTAGGATAGGTAGGTCGTAGGTCGTAGGTCGTAGGTCGTAGGTCGTAGGTCCTAGTAGGTTGATTCGGTAGTGACTTACTTGTTGGTCGCAAGATTTACGACAGCAGCAGACAATATTTATTTTTAGAAAAAGGCTAGAACAATTTAAAAATTCACGTGCTTTCGTGTTTACCATCTACAAATTTTCTGTTATCGAGACGCGAATGGCTTTCTTACCCCGTGCTCTCATTTGTTACTACCTACCTAGTAGTATTGCTATCACCACATTACTAACTGGTCTCTCCATCTCTCATCCTACAGCAATCTATACCATGATACCATAATACATAATACCATGAAACAACAAACGGGAACGGATTATCAATCCATACATGCTCCGGGAAGATCAAATTTCTCCTCATCTTCTCCACGTAAATACTCATTTCATCTCCATTCCTGCGCCATAACAGAACTCCAGGCTGATGAATTCTAGATCGTATGCCCACAGTTTCCGCCGCTCAAGCCTTGCAAGAATTGGAAACATCATCAACGCGATGCATATCTACCGGTTTGACCGGTTTGGATTTAGCACTTCAAAATAATGATCCATTGCAAGTATCTACAAGTGCGGATCAAAGTCATGGTGGCATATCAAGAGGACAGCTGACAGAAATTTATGGCCCACCTGGCGTTGGCAAAACCGCTCTGGGGTAATGCACTATACTCCAACTTTTGAGTAATCGCTCTTGTGGTGCTGATTACATGTAGTATGCATTTGGCCGCCAGGGTTTTACATCAAAATGAAGACGTGGTATGGGTAGGTAAGTTGATTTTGCTTTGTCTTACATGGTCAAACTGTTATTTCCCTTACGATAACTCATTTGATTTATCGCCCCATCTCCAATACTGAGATCTTTCATGCATCATTGGCCATCAGATTTCTTCAGAATGTTCTTCACTAACACCTCCAGACGCATCACATCCAATCTCCGGTCCTAGATTCAGTCAAATCTTACAAACATTTTCATCTTCAGAACCTTCCACTTTTCATGGACTTCTCAAAAAATTTCATCATTTTTCAACACCAACTCTATCTCATCTCCTTGCCCTGCTTACTCACACCACATCAAACTTCCCTCCACAAAACACTAGTCTGATTGTTGTCGATTCATTCTCTACTCTAATTGACAGTGCATTTCCTCGCAATGTTGACTCTACATCTACTCCTAAGAGGCAGGGAGGTATGTTGCGATTGAAAGCGCTTCTGCTTCTATCACCTGCACGTCACATTACCTACAACTACCGAGACTAACTCCATCAGCGCTCAACTCTGCCTCCCGCAAATTCCCCCTTCTTCAATATCTCATCAATGCACTCCAAAAACTCGCCACCACTCACAATATCGCCATCATAGTCCTCAATCAATGTGTAACCAAGATGCGACCTGGTCTTGGCGCGGCCCTTATACCAGCTATCTCAGCCACTGCATGGGAACAAGGCCTTGGATGCCGATTAGCTTTGTTCAGAGACTGGGGGTGGAATGATGATGAAGGGAATAAAGTGAATGGTGTACGATTTGCACAAGTCATCAGAGCAGAGGGTGTAACACTATCTGAGGGAAGAGGTAAACTTGCTGCATTTATTATTGGAGAGGTAAGTTCTTCGGCTTGTTCAAGACATAAATTTCTATCCGGAAGACTAACATGGCGCTTCCAAAGCTCGGTCTCTCCTCAGTCACCATTCCCTCATCACCAACAGTCGCATCACCTTCCAGAGGTCGCTCTTCACTCCCGAAGCCTCAAGCCACCATCGCCATAGCTCCGCAAAAACGCAAAAGAGCGGAATTCGAGATACCGGATAGTGATGAGGAAGATGACGAAGATTATGGGTGGGCAGAGGAAGGTGAAGAATTACCGCCAATGCCTCCTCAATGGCAAGGCAGCGAAGACATATTGGTGCCACCGCCAGGAGAGTTGGAAGCTGATGATGCTGAGGAGGAGAATGACGATGTTGTAGAAGGTACCGATTATGGAGACACTAATTGCGAGGACTTTCTTCCGGGGGAAAATAATACAGGACCATACGAGAAAGAGCTAGAGCGAGACATTCCAGATAGTGAAGATGAACTGGCCCTTTAAATACAATCTAATTTCAGCATGATGTCGTTTCTCATAATAGTTATTATCATGGTGCAAAGGGTAAACGCAATCGACGAAGCAATGCTCTATTTAGAATACTGGCTATCAATCAACTCATACATGGACGATAGGAGAAAATCAAGCATCCACAATGAGAAACATCTTCTGCTAGTGATGAAATAGAGCATTCAGGAATAAAAATATTCGTATGTAATAACTGTCGCAATATGCCTCTTCTCATTCAACTTATAGTGACCATGCACAGCCGTTCGTCGTTCATCTAAAATTATGTCAAAAATATTCATTTTATTATTGTCTGCTTGCCGACACTATAACCTTGCTGTACGTGAGGTTTACTCAGTGTAGGTGATAGAAAATGAGAAACTCATTTAAGTGAGTCGCGATCCTGATAATCTGATTGGTCTAAAATACCCCAGTAAATAAATTTAATAAAAAGCTTAGCATAAGGAAACCTTACAACCTCAGGCAAATCTGACTTGGAGCTTTTTTTAACTCTATTAAAATCATTCAATTTAAATTATTCAACTTATTCAATTCAACTTTATTTATTCAATTCAACTTTATTTATTCAATTCATCTTATTCAACTCAAAATAATAATATTAATTAATATTATTATTATTATTATTGTAAGTTGAATTGAATAAATAGAGTGGAATTGAAGCTTTTTTCAACTCAACTCAATTCACAACTCTATTGAAATTATTCAACTTAACTTTATTAAAATCATTTAACTCTAACATCATTCAAGTCAGATTTGTTTGAGATTATAAGGCTTGCTTATACCAAACTTTTTGTTAGATTTATTTACCGGGGTATTTTAGACCAATCAGATTATCAGGATCGCGACTCACTTAAATGAGTTTCTCAACCTACATTGGGTAAATTGTAGTATACTATATATACAGCAAGGTTTTAGTATCGGCAAGCCGATAATAAAAATCTTTTCTTTTGTATTGTTTCGAATTATTATATTGATTTATTATTTAGGTTTCTGTTGATTATAAAAAATAATTTCAAATAATATTTTAGATAATTGATAAGTATAATATGATTATAATTAATTCTATTTATGATTTCGATTCTATATAAAATCTCAATAATTTTGTTATTATTTTTGATATTCGAAATTATAAGAAATTACTTGATAAAATCAATAATCTTATACTCCTTAATAAGATATCTACAAAGTATATAAATCTTTACATTATTATTAATAAAGTTATTATAATTGTTATAAAGATTTATTATAAGAAAAATATAGTAAATAAAAAAACAATCCAAATCCAATAAATCAAAGCTTTGGAATCGATTATATTTAATCTTATTGTTTTTTTTGGATTTTTATAAAATTATTACAAATCAATTCTTTTTTATTTTATATATTATTCTAATATCTTCGATATAACTTTATAAATGAGATAAACAATCTTAATAAAATAATCAAAATAAAACCTTTCTTTTTTGATAATATATAAGGAATTCCTGTTTATAATACTAATTTTATTAATACCTTTTATTATTATTTAATATTCATTAAAGATTTCTAATAATAATCTTATTTTGATAAATTATATCGTTATATATTATAATAAGAATCTATTTTATATTAAATCTTTTTTATATTTTATTTATAATTTTATTTATAATTTCTTTTTTTTATTAAATATAAAATAATAAAATAGAATATGATTTTTTATTTGATTATACTATTTATATTTATTATAATTTAATCTGATATTAGAAATCTTTTGTATAATGAAAAAGATATATAATCTTTTCTTTTTGATTTATATTGTAAGAAAGTTGGAATTATAGATCAAATACATAAAGGTTTTTAATCAATCAATTACATAACCTTTTATAATTAGATATAAAAGAAGAGTTTTTATCTTTTCTTTTTATAATAATTAATCTTTTATATATATAAATTTGAATTTATATAATATCAACCTCAAAACTATTATGAATTCTGTTTTTTCTATAAGTAATATATTATAATATAATATAATTTAATTTCCTTTTCCAATTCTTTCCTTATAATATATTATTGGAATATATATATCTCGATCTACTATTTTTATAATAATGCTATATATAAGAAAATCAAATTATATTGTTTATAAAATATATAAAATCAATTTATGAGAATATTATATTGAAAAAGAAAATAGAATTAATTATTTATTGATAAAAAACAGAATAGATTTTGAAAAAATGAACTTTTCAAAAATGGAAATATTAAATGAAGAATAAAAGAGGTTTGGATTCCTAATCATTTTTATTCTTGTTAATTCATTATATTATAAATAAGTGATTTATTATCGATTTATTTATCTATATTTTATATAAAAGATTTTTATTAATAAAATTCTATTTAAATTAAATCTTAATAATTTATAAAGAAACTATATAACTTCAATAACAAAAAAGATTTGATTTTGAAATAAATTTGATAAAATATAATTAATCGAATTGAAGGATTTCATATATTTTATAATTGAATAAACACTTCAATAATCATTTACAAAATGATATTTAAAAAAATTAGATTGTAATATACAAAATTGCTATCTTTGATATCAATATTCAAAATTTTAGAATATATCTTAAAAAACTTTTAATTAAAAAGTTTAAAATCCATATAATCTTTTTACAAGAAAAGATATTTTTGAAAGAATTATTTAAATCTTTTTTATCTTTTTGGAACTTTACAAAAAGAAAAATATAAATAACAAAGATTATTATGAATCTAAAATCGATTCAAATTCAAATATATTTGATACATTTTCTTCGATTCAATATCTATACAAAACAAACCTATTATTATCTGAAATTCGCTATTAATTTATTATTATAAAAAATCTTAATTAATCTAAAGTTTATTCAGAAGATACTTTTCAGAAATCTTTGAAAATATTTGTTTCTTATAACTTTAATAAGAAATCTCTTATTGATTTAAAAAGAGATTATATTAGAAAAAATAAAGATAATCTTAGAAAAAGAAAACCTAAAAAAACTAAGAACAATAATAATATAAATCAATCAATAGGAGTTTATATATTTGATCAAGATATTATAAATTATATATATATATTCTATTATATCCTATATCGGAAGTTCTAATACTTTTATTTTCGATAAGAACAATATCTTTGATTTCCTTATAATATAAGAGATCTTATAAATTGATTATAGTATATCTAATATTGAAATACAAATTCGCCTTCCTTGATATTATAATAATATTATTTTAATCCAAATTAAGTTTATACCAGAATGTAATTCTATTAATTACAATTAGAAAAAGGATTTCATCTAATTCTTTTTTGTTACTTTTACAATTTCGATATTCAACAAATTATTGATATTTATAATTTCTCAGATCAATTTGTCGATACTCAATATCTAAATATAAGATATTTTATAATATAAATCTAATCTTGATTAAGAATTATATTACCAAATTCGCTCTTTCCTCAAATCAATTTATTGAAAACACAATAATTATCAAATTTGAAATAAGAAGATTTTTCCTATATAATTTATATATAGAAATTGATAAAAAAATTATTAGAAATCTCAAAATTGATTTTAACGATTTTGTTATTATAAATTACAAGAAAATAATAAATAAGGTTTTCAAATAATATATATCAAAAGATTCTATTATTAAGATTTACAAAAGGTTTAGATAATGTTAGATTATAATTATATTTATTATAAAGGAATATATAAAGATATTATTTTTTAAAAAACTGATTCAAATTTCGATATTTAAAAAAGGATTGAAAAAAGATTAATAAACAAAATAATGAAATAAATATTGAAAAGAATTTTAAAAACAAAGATTAAAAAAAAAGAATTATTTAAATTAGATAAAAAAAAAATTATAAAAGAAATCTAATCTTTCTATAATAAAATTTCAAAAATCAAAAACCAATTATTTATTTCAATATATATTACAAAATTGATAATAAATTTGTTATAATATATTGTTTATATCGAAATCTTTATATTTATCAATAACCTATATATCTATTATCTAAAATAATCAAACAAGTTTTTATTAAAGAATATAAAAAACAAAGAAAAGTTGAAAAACAGATAATCAATCTTACAAAATAAATATTATTGATATTTATTAAATTCAATATAAATAATATAAATATAAACCTTATTAATTAAATCTTTTTTATTATAATTAATATCAATAATTTAATAGATAAATTAAATTCTTATTTAAAGAAAATATATAATATATTAATAGTTATTATCTCATTTATTAAAAAGAAGATTAAAATCATTGATATTATTATTTTAAAATTGATAATCAATATAATGAACTTGGAAATTATAAAAAATCTAAATCTTATAATATATAAGTATAATATTATAATAATAATTTTAAATATAAATATTATTATTTGATATATTTTATCTTTTTATAAGAAAGATTGATTTTGAATATAAAGGAAATAAATAGATCATTTAAGTTATTAATAATAATAATATTAATAAAACCAATTGTTAAATAACAAAACCCAAATAATTAATTGATATCAAGAAAATTGGAATTATAAATTAGGGAAAAGATTAAAAGATATAATATTTAAAAATTGTATTAATAATCTTTCAAAAAAATCTAAACCTCTATCGAAATCCTAAGATTTTCAAAAAATATATTTATATCAATTTTCAGGAATTTTTAAATTATTATCCAAAATTTAAAATAAACCTTAAATTTGAAAAACTAATCAAAAATATTTTCAGGTTCAATTTCGATTTCAATATAAAAGATATTCTTAATAATATAAATAATTCTAAAATAGAAATCTTTTAAAAATACTTCGATCCTAATAATAGTTATCTAGATTTAAAAATATTTGAAATCGAAAATGATATCTATAAAAAATCAATATCTATCAATTTAATGATATATATTTTTATTAATAAAGTTTATAAAAAAAAAAGATAAAAAATAAAATTATCAAATGAAATTGAATATATCAATAAAAGAATTCTAAATAATAATCTAAATTGATTTGGAAATAAATATATCAAAAATCTTGTATATCTATTATCAGAATTATTCTCAAAATATTTAATATTACATTTCGATTCTCAATCTGAAGATTTCCATTTGATATCTGAAC